AGGGAGACAATTCCCTGGCAGAGGTTTACCGTCGGACCCTGTCCCTGTCTCCCTTGTCATGCCATCTCCCTGTTGTCTCCTCAAACTGATCTTTCCATCATTAGTGACTCATCCATCACAAGAGCAGAGTTAACAGTGGTGAAGCTGATGCACTAGGCGTGGGTCTGACAGCACAATGGCTTTTGCAGGGCTGGTGCCTGCCTGTCTGCCCTGCCAAAATGATAGTTCCCCTGTTCCTCTGGGGCTTCTTTGAAAACAGGATTAAGACACCTGCACCTCCTCAGCTGCAGGGTTGCATGTGGTCATCTCAGAATGCGAAGGGACCAAGGTCAATGCACAAAATACCAGTGCCCAAAGGGAAGGAGATAAGCACAGCAAAATCCATGCTGACTCAGAAGCAGCATGAAAGAAAACTACACACTCTCCTTGTATGGAAGCAGCATCAACCTCCTGAAGGCTGGGTGGAAACTTTTTGCTTGTTAAGGCTGGACTTGATCCCCTGAAATGGATCTAGGCTTTCTCTAGCTATGGACAGATTGAAATCGCAAGTGCTTTCCATCCCAGTGGCAGCGCAGAAGAGCCTTTCAGCTCTTTGGTTACACAATTGGCCAGGTGCACACTGAAGTTTTTTTCTTTTTCTCCACCTTCCTCTGAAGCATCTGGAACAGCTCATCGCCAAAACCAAGGTACTGGGCCTTTAGGTCTGCTCAACCAGAACAAAACCTGAATTCCTGGGAAATAATGTTCATCAAGTACTCATGATGCAGCACCAAAATATGTATGATATCGATGGCATCTGTGACTTATTGTTCATGCTCCATCTTTCCTTCACTCTGTTGCACCCTTTCACACTTTTTCATGGTGAATCAACCTACAAATAAGGTGGATCTGAAGAAAAGCATCTGGACCCTGCCTGCCTCCCTGATGGCACTGGGTGCTCCCCACCGGGCAGGATGCCAGAGCTGGGGAGGGAGCCAGGCATCTTCGCTCTGGCCCTAGGGATTCTGCAGGGATGGTGGAAAAACACTGTGTGCAGATGCTGCTCCCTGCATGGCATCTCTCAGCAGCGTCAAGTGAAATGGCACTGCCAAGCCCTCTGAGATGCTTCTGTCTGGGATGCAGTGGGATATAACCAGTCCTTTCTCCCATCCCTCCTTTGCCTGCAATATTTTTCCCTCTTTTTATTTTTTCTCTTTTCATTTATGCCTATTCCCAGCTTTGAGAGCGTCTGTTTTTTTAGCCTATTTAAATTGCCAAGCACTTGATTCGTGGTTACTATTTTTATGCCGGCAGCTCAGGGTTCAGGTCCGGCAGTGCCAGATGCTGCACCTCCACATGCTAACACATGCCCCACTGAAGCTTCTGTCTGAATAAACAAGGAAGATGGATGGCGTGAGTGGGGAGATTTGCTGACACAGCCCAGCTCTTTGGCTGCCTCAGTGGCACGCTGCCTAGCTGAGCAGCTCCCTATCACTTAACATGGCATGAAGCAGTTGCAGCAATTACCTTATTCATTTTTTCCTCAGTTTATATGAGCTGTTTCAACTGGCCCTTTTTCCCCTCACGCTGGAGGATGCATATTCTGGTGACTGAAACCCAGCTAGCCATTTCCCTGGATCACATCCATTGCCTTTGCATGGCATGGCTGGGCATTGGCGTTTTCTTTGTTCATGCCAGAATTTTAAAACATCGTTGGTCTGCAAGTCACCAATGTGGGCAAACCTGCCTCCTTCCACTACTGGCATTGCTTTCTGCAGAGCCACAGAGCTCAAACACAGGCTGAACAGTCTATGCAGGTTTTCCTCTCTCATATCACCTGTTCTTAGCATGTTGCATTGCCCATGTCCTCCCTTGCCATGACTTTTGCAAGATCAAAATGAGACTGATGGCCACCTGTGCCCTCAAGGGTGACCCACCAGCACCTTACTTTGCTTTTTCTGCTTGCAAAGATGAAACCAGCTGGAGATTCTTGACAAGGCGAAGCAACAGGAATCACTGTGTTCTCCAGGCACTGGGCGAGGAGTAGGGAGAGCAGTCCCCGAACCCTGCTCCTGGCTCTCTTGAGCCTTGAGTCCAATTAGTCATTTTTTATTTTCCCCTCATATGTTTTTCCAATGTAATTTGGAGCATGAGTTGTTAAGTTTCCCCAACAAGTGTTGCTATAGAAGCCTGTATTTGTTTAGGGTGGGGTACGGGCTTCAGTGGGTTGAGAGGAGGGGGCAATTAGCCCTAATAGGTGTAGAGAGAAACTGAGAGCCTCTCCTTCCCATCCTGTCCCTGCCTCTGTCCTCCCCCCACCTTGCACACAAGATCTGGAAATCATTTCAGACCTGTGCAGCCGGGATGGGCAAACCTCCCCGTAATTGTATGGAAACTACTGAAGCGGCGGGTGTTGTTTTGCCAGTGAGTCATGACATATGGAGCAAAGCTCAAGGAAAAACTCCACCACATGGAAGGCTGCAAAAGCAAATCACACCCAGAAGAGCTCTTCCCTGCCAGTGGCCCTGGCTGGTGCCCTGCCTGCATCCCTCCAGCGACCAGCCCCAGCATCCATGCCCTGGCCCTCCTGGGGCTCAAAGTTGCTTCATGGTTCAGAGACCTTCTTTGATCACTGTCATTTAAGACCCGCTGACAACTTTTCAATGGAAGAGGAGTGTTAACCCTATTGCCTTGGTGAAATTGCACCCTGGTCTCCTCCAGACATGGTTTGCAACAGTGATGATGGGAGTCAAATCCCTTACTGGTTTTGAGTGAGCTACCTAACCTGGCTGTGCCTCAATTCCCCAGCTGTAGGAAGGTGTACTCTTTCTTCTTTTCTTCTGAGATCTTCCAGGCAAACATAATCTCTCTGTGGCTGCCTGGATTTGGCCCAGGGACTGTGGTACTGACAGCACAGACAGGCACGGTGGTTTGCCATAATCCCTGCTGCTACTTCCTAAAGTGACATTAGACTGGGTTGAGGTCATTTCTGTTCCTTGTGAGACATGATGACAAAAAGCCACACTGGTTCCCTGGTTATGGCATTGCTTTTTCATGTGAATTATTGGTATTATCACCAGTCCCGCGTGTTGGCTTCAGCTCAGTGGAAACAGGGCTGTCATGGTGAAATGACATTTTTCAGCTGTCTGACATTCAGTTTAGGGATGCTATGGGTGAGTGTCCATCAAAGGCTGGATGCAGGTATTTTCTGATGCCCAGCTGTTGCTTGGGGTCACCAGATCCAGCAAAATGGGTTGGCTGCTTCTATGAGCAAAGGGGTGGCCAGGTTTCCAAGGGTCCTTTCTGATGACAGCAGTCCTCCTGGAGATTGGCCATGGTTGCTGGGCCAGTAGCTACCATCACAGGGCCTAGAGTGGGAGAAACATTTCAGTACTAATCACTCAGTCAGTGAATAGCTTCTCCATTCTGTTAGCACATTGGGTTGTTGCTTGGCAGTGCTGATGTGTCTCTGTGATCAATAAACCTCAGCTGCAGATAGTTTCTGACAGTTCATTGCAAGTGCTTCACATGTGTGTTGTTTGGTTGCACCAGTCACACAGCATTGTTTCTTAGCCCTAGTTGGCTGCTTCTCAGCTCCAGTTGCTTGTTTCTCTTCTCTGATCAGATGACTCATGTAAACAACAGTAAAATGTATTTCTGAATGGCTGCTTGTGCCATGTAACATTTCTGGACAGGAAGCTCTTCTTCAATAGCTTTCTGTTTCCATGTTAGAGCTTAAAGTAAATGTTTGTTAGTGATGGAGCATTTATCTGAACTGGACCAAAGTAAGTTGGGCTCTGCAAATCCCCAGCTGTCCAGGCAGACTCAACAGTGATTCACATGAAAGCAGCAAAGGTCACTGGGCTGTGCCACACAAAGAGGACCCACCATTATTTTGACAATGCAAAATCCATCACCACTCAATCATATGGTTTCCTTACAGAGGGTGAGATTTGGGCCACTAAGAAGAGAAACGAGGAGGAATATGGCCAAAGCTGAAGCTGGAAAGTGGCCACGTTGCTTTTATTGCTGGTTACCAGTAGGCTGGTGCACTCTCTGCTCAATCCAGAGTTGGATTTTGCCTGCAGGGAGCTAGTGCTTAATGTCTGTCCCTTCTGTTTGTCCCAGCTGGCCACCAGATAAGTGGCCTTGTGATCCAACCTGTCAAGGTTTGGTCGAGCCATGTGATGTGAACAGGGCTAGAGCTTTCAGTGGAGAGTCTAGAGGAATTTGGGGACATGTTCCTTGGGGTCAGAGCCAGAGCAAGAACATTCTGGAAAAGGCATAATCCTTGCAACCAGCACTTGTCAATGCTTGGCTTGGCTTGGCTTGGCTTGAGTGCAAGTACTTCTGGGAGACTCCCGACCTTGCTGAACCTTTCTCATAGTCCAAGGGAGATAAAGGACCTGCCTTCCTGACATTGATCCTCTAGCAGAATGCTCTATCGATCCTCATAACAGCCTCCCTGCACTTAGCTGCCCAAGCCAGGTCACCAAGCTCAACTTCAGAGCCAAGCTCTTTGGGAGGTGAGATGCTGGAGAGAAGAGTTGGGTCAGCTTCTTAGAGAGTCCTGCCCCAGCTGTGAACATGCAGAGAGCTAGGTTACAGTGGAGACACATGAGAGTGATGTGAGAGATGGACAAGCAGATGATGTGGTGAACTGACTAATCGTTGAGTGGCAATGGACTCAAGGAGAAGCACTGAGTGAGACAGGAATGGGGACATGTGGCATTCAGGTTGGGGCACTCCCTAGTGATGTAGATTTGCTTTCTCTCTTCCTGACACAATTCCCTGTTCCTCGAGCTACAACTGCTGACCTCACAGCACCCAGTCCTCCATATACATCAGCCAGGATACCAGTCTTCTGGTGCCCTTTGGCTTTGAAGAGGGAGTTGTGTATGGTGGAATTGGGCCTTGGCCCTTCCCAGAAGTGCACAGGGGCCTTGCTGAGGACCTGGGATCTCTGCTTTTGGGGGAAACTTTATGCTTTTTGACTAGCAAAGACTTCTTTCTCTGCCTAGCCCTTCCAAGCAGATGGCTGGTGCGACACCATTAACAACCGGGCATACTGCCAGTATGACGGGGGTGACTGCTGCTCCTCCACACTGTCCTCCAGGAAGGTAAGTGAGCAATTTCTGCAGTGCTGGCTGGGATTTAGGATTAAGTAGCCATGCTCTTATGCTTTGCTGGCTGTGGAACTGAGCCTGTAATGCAATTCTCCCATGAACAGAGAACAAACCCATGATTTTAAACCAAAGCCAGCTGAAGCTGATAGACATCATCCCACTGATTAACAGTGGGGTTTGGACTTGGGCCAGCAGGACTAAAAGCTCATCCCAGCTCCCACTGAGGTTCACGGGATTCCCTCTCATTTTGGGAAACAAGTCCCAAAGTAATGACTTCCATAGAATGTAGTGCTAGCCATAGTGAGTCAGAAGTCACCTTGTCATATAATTGAGCAATCTCAGGGGATTTTTGGTATGATCCATTGGCATCCACTATGGTCTTTCCCTCACAATTCTCCTGGGAAGGGAAGGAGGGAGGAATAGTGTAGAGGGAACAACTTGGCATTGGGGTTGCACAGACCATTCTTTGTTTCCCATCACAACCTCCCCTCCCTCCTAACCTGCTATCCAGCACTCACAGCCCATCCTTCCTAAGCATATCCAACAGCAAAACAAATCATAGGCATGAGATAATTTCTCACTGCAAAAATATGTGGATTTGGATCTTCTCGTCTTTGTTGTGGAGCTTGAATCATTCTTCCTTTCATCACACATACACACACAGAGAAAAGGAAAAATAAAATCCTGGGAAGATCCAGTTGAGATAGGAGAGAAAAGACTTTACACCCAAGTGATGAGTGAAACCTCTAAATAGATATCATGACATCTCAGAGCAAGGCATGGCTCTCAAGAGGTCTGAGACATCTGGATCTCTGGACAAAATAAAGGGTGGGTTCACAGTGAAGGTGGGGAGATTCAGTCCCATGGCTCTCAGAAGACCTAGCCCCAGCCACACATGCCAGATCTCCTGTGGCACAAGCCTCCAGCACGTCACTGTTAAGGCAGCTGGGGTTTAAACACCAAAAGCCCACTCCAGCTTCTCACTGGCCCAGGCTGTGAAAAATCAAATGTGCTTCCACAATAAGAAAAACTCCTGTCTCTGAGCCTGGTGTGTATAAAACCTCTGGAGGAAACTGTTTTCTCTGCTCCCATTGCCCATGACTAGGCAACTGTCAGCCAGGAGCCAAACGCTCTGCTGGTGCCCTCCCACCTTGCTCTGCTGCCACCAGCTAAGGTGACATAATCTTACTCGGCTGCATACAGTTGTTGCAGAGAAAGCAATCTGCAATGAGCCTCTCTACCTGCATGGGATGTCTCAAAGCAGCACAGCTTGTGGGTTGCCCTACAGGGACCCACTCCCTCCCCCACTGAAAGCCATTCCTGCTCACACAGCCTCTAGCCTGCCTGGGTTTTGTTAATCCATAATGCACAAGAACTGTATGTATCTACCCTGGCTCCTATATAGGGTAGTGTGGAAGCCAGCCTTTGAAGCTGGGAGCTTTGTTGAGTTTTTCCTAGAGTTGCAGAAGGTGAGGCTATGCTACATCCATGCTTTGGTGAGCCTGGAAGAGCCAGGAGTAGCTTTAAGGACAGGTCCATGGGCTCAGACATAGACAAGGAGGGGCTTTCTAACAAGGGTCAAAGTAAAACTAAAATCTAGAGAGCCTCAACACTGCTTGACCTAGTCCAAATGCCTCATACTCATCAGGGGAGACTTTGGGGCACAAGATTCAAGCTGACCCTTGGTTGCAAAACTTGAAACACAAGTTAAGAAAAAGGAAAATGCTAAGAATAAAATTCAGCCGGGGACAGCTTGTATCAGAGCCCATTTCTTAGTGAGTGTGGAGCCTGGCAGTCTCCACAATGCCAAGAACTTCAGGGTGCAGCCCAGAGTGTCTGTCTGTCTGTACTGTGATGGAGAGGGCTTGCAGGAACATAGGGGTGCCAGGAGCCAGGTATCTCAAAGTAGGCTTACACCTCCCCTCTGTCCCCTCAGGTGATTCCGTTTGCTGCTGACTGTGACCAGGATGAATGCACGTGCCGAGACCCAGCGGCCGAGGAGAACCAGTAGCAGCATCACGAAGGGCCTCTGTCAGTCAGGCGAGCACCAGAGGAGTGAAGGGGCAGTAAAGGGGCTGCTGGGAACGGCAGGGTGTGAGGGGGCAGGAAGAGTAAGGGAGAGCTGGGCAGAGGGATGGCCACCATGCATGGAAGGGATGGGTGGCTGCCACGGAGCAGACAGTAGGATGTGGTGTGGGAGGGCAGGAGCGTAGTGGTCCCTTCCCCATTGCTGCTCCCTCCTGAACCCCGCCAGGACACAGAGGCCCGGTGCATGCTCGAGCGGCTCAGCCAGGGGTCCAGTACCACCTCGGCCATGTGCTGGGCTGGGCTCCACACAGAGAGCCTGGGCACTGCCATGAATGTTTGTCCTGGTCTGCTTCTGAGTGTCTGTCTTTGCTCTGGACTGTGTCACTATTCACCCCCCTCTGCTGTACAGGCTTCTTTTAGCAAGGTCGAGGTAGTTGTGATCTCTCTGCAAATATTTAAACTTAATTATATATATATACATATATATAATATATATAAAATATATATTATATTTTCTTTGCTCTTGATGAAGCTGAGAAAGGATATCCTTTGTCACACACCCATGCTGCTGTGAAGTACAAACCATTGGGAAAAGCACAGGTCGGGGTAGGAGGATTTCCCCTTCCTTGCTGAGAGAGAGCTGGAAGGGGTAACAGAGAGAGAAGCCAAACATCAGGCCCCGCCAGGAGAGAGGTCCCCAGGCAGGTGGCAGAGAGGCTGCAACCTCAAGGTGTTCTCGACATCTTGCAGGCACCAAGTTTTGCCCTTGGGATTTGCCAGTGCTTTGCCTTGCTCTGCTTATGGCCCTGGGTCAGGATTTTGAAGTTGAGGAGAAACTGCTGTGGCCTTGCATCACCGCAGCAAGCACAGCAGACTTGGTGAGCACTGCTGCCCTGGAGGGCACAACAGATGCCCGTCACCCCTTATTTCAGAGCACTCTGGGAAGGTTTACATGTCCATGGGTATTGCTGTGTGGTCAGTAGGAGCAAAGGCACAGAACGGTCCCTCTCGGCCTTGCTCCCCCTGGCCACTGCACTCCCAACTAGATGAGGGATAGAGTGGGCAACCCAGAGTAGCTGTGTGATGCTCTGAATGAAGGACAATGAGGTGATCCTTATTTTCTTTCCCCACATCTCCTTTCCAAACATGAGTATTGTCAGCAGTTCTCAGAGGAGACCAGACCCTGTAATACAAGGAGAGACAGGACCCAAAAGACCTGTCAGGAGACTTTAAGCATCATCGTTTCCCACTGAATTTTTCCTTATTACTATCTCTGTGGCTGAGCACATGACAATGGACATACAGACACTGACTTTCACAAGCCTCTTGCTCCTGTAGGTACTAAGTGAAAATCTTCAGATTCACTTCTAGCCCTGAAGAAGCCCAGCTAGAAACTTTGCCTCCCCACCCCCACAGCTGGTTCCCAGAAGCTCAGTTTGGCAGCCTGTACCCAGCCCCAGACAGTGGGTAGGAAGGGTGCCTGGCTCCAGCTGGTGTTATCTCTGATGGTTTTGTGCTGCAAAGAGGCAGAGAAAAGGGATAGAAAGAGGAGAGCAGAGCAGGAACCACAGAGTAGGAGCACGGATTCCGGTGTCCCCAGATGCAGCTGCAGGCTGGGACCAAGAGACCCAAGGCCACCCGGCTGTGTCCTCCTGTCGTGGCCTGTGCTGTTGGAGCCAGGCTCCAAGCCAGGGTTTGTCCGATGCAGGAACGATGGAGAGAGGGTGACACGGTGTGGAGAGACCGGGGATTTTCAAGGCATCCTTTGGCTTCCGCTAGCTTCCCCCTACCCTTTTTTGTCAGGTATCTCCTAAAGTTATGTTTCGCTGGAGGACAGGAGTAGGAGCAGAGGTGCCTGGACATCCCCCCAATATCCAGGCAGCAGATGCTTTGTCCTTCTCCAAGCCCTTTTCTGATCCCAGGTGTCCCCATCACCCCATGGCAGGTCACCTCCTGCCTGCCCTGGTCTAGGCAGGGATACAGCACGGGGGATGATGGGCCCCATCTCCTCTTGCAGCAGGGACACATTGGCATTTCTGTTTCTGTCATGCACAAGTGACAACACCATGGGGTTTTCATCCAAATGCACTGTCAGTTTGGCAGAGAGCTGCAGTTTTTTGAGAGAGATCCACTTATCAATCAAAAAAACCCTCAAACAACCAAGGAAATTTAAAAAAAAAAGCCCTTTGAGACTCTTCTAGCCCCAGTGTTCCCAGAAGGTGCATCTTGGGCAGCCTGTCCTACTCCACCACTGCAAGGAAGGGGAGATCCAGAGGTCCTGGCACAGCGGGAGCAGGGGTCATGGCAACCCCCGGAGGGGGGTGGGGGGTAGTGGGGACAACGTGGGATGAAGGGTGACACTCAGAGGGAACATTTCAAGTCCCAGCATCTTGCCGTGCCAAACACTTCCCTGCCTGGTGTCAGTGTTACCTGAATGCCTATGTTTTTACCCTTTTGGCATGAAAATCCTGGTCTCAGCAATGGCTCATTCCTGCTCACCAGTGTGTACAGGGGAAGGGACCATGCCCCATGGATGGGGAACTGGGGCAGGGACCCAGAGGCACTGGCTTGGCTGATAGACATTTGTGCTTCTTATGAACAGATAGCTTCTACGTGCGGAAATATTGTTCTTCTATAGCGACACTGAGCGGTTTTTGTCCCCTTTACGGTTTTATTCACAATGGAGGCTGCTGCTATTTTTATTTTTTTTGTATTTGATAATTATTTTTTATAAAAATCTATGAAAAATAAATAATCTTCTCATCCTCCACCTCTTCTGCCTCCTTGCTTCACCTGAAAGGGGGCCAGGCTTGGGGAGGGAGGTGGTTTGCCTGCTCCCAGTGCCCTCAGTCACACATATCCTCCTCTGCCCCAAACTATGGACACCCCCAGCACTTTCCATCACAGTGGGAGAGCTCCTTTGGGTTTTGAGTTGCGGGGACATACCGCTGATGTCCTCCTTATTCAAGGCTGCCACCCAGGCAGCTTTTGCTGTGCCACTGGCTGCAAGGACACTTTTGTAGATGATCTGCTGGTTATGCCACAAACCGGTCCAATCAATAACCAATCAATTTTTGTAATGAGATCATCTTAAAGACAGGGAAAAATATGTGTGTGTTTGTGTGTTCACACACCACCTCCCTGGGGAGAAGGAGTAGAGGGTGGCTCACACTAGAGCCAGAGAGACATGCTATGTGGCAGCCTGACAAGAAGTTAAAACCAAAGACAATAAAAAAAGTTGCTTTAAGATTTTGGGATTATTTTTTTTTTTAAGCAACCACATAAGCTTTGTACCTATGGACTGGAAAACACCAAAAGGCCCTGTACAAGGTGGGTGGCCCTGACACAGTGCCCCTGCAGTCAGCTCCAGCCTCCCCATTGATGGTGGTGAGCCCAGGGCACCCATCTCCAGTCACTTCAGTACACCACTGGCATGAAGTGTGACAGGGACCAGGGCAAGCTGATGCCATAGTATGAGCTGAACTGTCTCCCATGGACATGCCTCAATCCCACAAACATCCCATGTCACCAAGGCAGGGGGCATCCACAGGGCTCCTGTGGATTAGGACCTTGCTTCAAAGATGGCCACAGCTGCCCTGCTCTGCCCACTTGACCAGATCAGTGTTTCTGGTGCTCTGGAAAATGGGATTTGAAGCATTTGATGAAGCAACCCATCCCATGGAGCCTCCTGCAGCCACAGCCCTGCATGTCCCTGGCTATATCTCAGCATCGCCTCCGGACCAGAGGCACCTGGAGCATCTGAGACAGGTTTGAAAGTCCCACTACTCCCCATGCTGCAAGGCTATCATGCCAGTGGCACAAGGAGGGACAGCATGAGGCTGGAGTTTGGCATCTCCCCTCTTGCAATTCCTGATTACCAGTAGACCCCCAGCCAGCCAGATCTCCCATGAGGCCAGGTATGGAGCCATCAAGCCACAATGGCCTGTGGTGGCCATAGCTGGTGGCTACATCTGAAATGGGATCAGCCTGCCCTGTGGTTCCTTCCTCAGGCCCACAGCACTGATGGCTGGGCAAACAGGGAGCACCTGGGGACAAGGAGCTGCTTCCTTTGGCCCCAGAGTGGCTAGAAGCACTGCACAGCATTCCCTCCTCGCCATGACCAGGGTGCCCTTCCCATCACCGACAACTGAAGCTGTATGTACCCCACCCCGACTGCAACAAGCTGAGGTGCTTTGGGTTTGTGTTGCTGCTGGAAGCCAGCGAGGCCCTGACAAGTCCTTGGTCCTTCTGGGTGCCTGCACTAGAGTGGCTGGGAATGCCAGGCACAGAGTCATGCAAGCAGGGCTGTGGGCAGGGCTGCCCCCAGCGCTGGCCTTTGCACCATGTCCAATGGATTGGAGCTGGGATGGAGGTGTCGAAAATCAGTGCAGGTGTATTCCTACTGGGAACAGTCAATTCATCCTGAGTCTCCCTACTCACTATCTTTGATTTCCCTTGTCCTGTCTTTAAACCCTGCTCACTCTTCTTCCAACCATCTCTGATAGCCATGTGCCTCCCTTTGCTCCGCACCAGCCTCTCCTTCACTTCCAGTCTTTGCATGGACTCTCTCATTGCTTCCTAGAGGAGGAATAGCATCTTCTGGTGACATCAGATGTCCTCTTCAGGGCAAAGCTCCAAAATCATGCACTTCCACCAGGGACATATTTGCTTTCATGGAGGACAGCACCTTAAGGGGCTCCACAGCCCCAAGCAACAAGGACCCTAGTTGCAAGTCTTGCATTTAAAAGAAAAAAAGTAGCTGTCTCTATGGCAGTAGCCCTGTGAAGAGCTGTTTTTCCATCCCATCCCCTCCTTTCCGCCAAACACCCAGCCTCAAGGCAAGAGACGCCAACCCCTGTGTCCCCAAGACAATGAAGACACACAGTTGAGCAAGGTGGTGGCTCTTTCAGCAACATAAACTGGATTTTATAATCTTTGTCAGCTGTTATTATGGAGGAGACCAGTCATTAAGAAACGGGGAAATGGTGCCTTGTGTGTGGGCTCGAGTGGTGCCATGTTGTTCATGCATGTGTTGAAATGCAGCGATCTCTGCTGGTACCTGCTTTCTAAGGATGAATAGGGACTGTTGGCCAACACCAACCCTTCCAACACAGACACATATTGTCAAACCCTTTCTAAAAACCTGCAGTTGTGCTGGTGATGCATCCCTTACAGTCCACTTCACCCTTTTTGGAGTGGCTTTCTCCAAACCCCTATAGCTTGCAAACCAGATGACCCCTGAGGAGATTTTGTTCTGGTGAAGGTGTGATGAGCCAGCTGGGCAGAGACTTTCTTACACAGCAGCTCAGGCTTGTGACTGTGCACCCTGCTGCCACATGGCCCCTCTCCTCCTCCTCCTCCTCGTCCTCACATCTTTTTCCACAGCCGCAGGTTGTTGTGCAATGAGCTGGTGGCAGCCACAGCATTTAACTGCATGGAAAATAGCAGAAGGAAAGTACTGGGTGTGTTTTTAGCTTATTTTCCTGCAATTTAGTAGTGGGAAGAGAAAAAAAATAAAAATCGAGTTATTCCGTGAGACTTAATGAAGTCTGGTTTCTGACGGATTTGTGCACTACAGCCCCTAAATATCTCCCCTTCTATGTCTTCCCAGGCATCCTGCCTGCCTGCAGCAATTCCCACCTCTCTCCAGGTCTCCTACCCATATGGCAGAGCAGGTGGCAAAACACACTGGGCTTGGCCAAGGGGCCAGCCCCTGCAAGTGTCGATGGCCTGAGCACTAGACACAACACTGCACTGCAAGTGGTTTTTGAGGCATCCTTTGTAGCTCTCACCCCTGTTCAGGCACTGATTTTTGCATTGTTTGTAGGACATTAATATTTATGATACTGCTAGTCCTGTCAAAAGTCTGCCAGATGGACCAGGAAGATCTCAGGGGTGGTTGACCACCAGACGGCACCATCCCATCTACCCTATATACTAAAACAAACAGGCTAAAAGGAGCTTTTTTGGACCCTGCTTCTAAATTTTCAGTGTCTGTGGAGGTTTGCAAAGCAAGAACTGAGAGCCCCTTGCTGAGGATGTGTAAATGCAGTCTTCCCCCCCAAAGCCCAAGGTGCCTGCAGGCATCTGCACCTTCTGGTGCCTGGCAGAGCAGGTAGGCGAGGCGAGGGGCAGGACATGGCTCCAGCTGCCTGTACTGAGTGGTTCGGGACTTGGCTAACCCAGTGGGCAGACAGGCTAATGCTAAACGTGTGTGAAGACACACCCAAGTTCAAAGTCTGGGAGTGTTTCATCCATTACCAAAAGATGACATCAGCTGGACCAAAACTATAAACAAACACTCCACTTTGCCAGAGCCACAGATTACTAACAGCTCCGTTTAATAGTCAGTTAAATTATCATCTGGAATTTTACATAGTGTTACAATGATTTTTTTGTTGTTGTTGCTGTTCTTTAAAACCTTTTTTTCTTTTTTTTTTTAAGTAATCCAGAAGGGTTTTGTGTTTCTTGCCACATGGCTATCTCACCCTAAAGCACCCTACTTTCAATCTACAGTAGTAAAACATCACATTAGAGTTTTAATAGAACATCAAGGAACATGAATTGTAGCCATCTTTGTAAAGAAAAGGACCAAACCATCTTTATATGTTAAATAACTCCACCACAAGTAAAAGGTAGTAATGCTATTGCAGGGGTATGGGTGTAGCAAAGAAAAGATAACGACCCAGAGGTTCATCTTAGGTGAATGATCGCTTGTTAATTGAGAACTAAAACAAGAAGAGAGGGCAGGGGGGAGAGGGAAGTTGCAGAAATGGACAGTGTCTTGTCCAGCTTTTGTGTGGTTGGTAGCATGGGAAGAACCAGGTGTCCAAGAGAGAAAATGCTGTGCCAACCCAACAGTAGGGCCCTGCAGCAGATGTGGACGGTGTCAGCTCTGTAGGGAAGGGCACACCTCAGGGCTCACCCATGGCTGTTTGGGGTGAGCAAATCCCATACCACACATCTCACTATGCCAGGTCTGCGGTCCAGGTGCAACCAGCCTCTTCAGTCTGGGACCGCATGGCAGGCTGCTGGTGTTTGTCTGAGATGGGCTCAGGGGTTAATTGAGGGATTTTGGCAAGAAAATCCAAGTTTAGGCAAAATTCCGAGTAGAAAACCCAGAACAAGGAAACCAAGAAGGAAGCCTTCACAAAGCCAGGGCTATCGTGAAAATGGCCCTGCAGACATGCCACACCAGCAGGACCTGCCAACACAGCAGGTGCAGCAATGCCGTGGCAGTCAACCAAGCGGAACACAGACTCACCAGCAGACGGCACAGTCTGTCAGGGAATGGGGATGCTGAGTCCGTTCAACTGTGTAAGGGTGCTGCCAAAAGACCTTGGACGGGTGACTTTCCCCTTGCCCTCCGGGTGGTCCATCCACCAGCCCATGGGGAAGCTGGGGCCAAGAGAGTGAGTCCGTCCCAGCCAACTGATGCTGCTGCAGGGTTTTGATTGACCACACAAGGGCTTTGAAATATGAGCACAGAAGCAGAAAATAAATATTTGCAGAGCCCCAGTGTAAATCTTGAGGCTGGACAAAAAAAGTAACCTAGGCAGGTGTGAATGCATGAGGTGTCCAGGGTTTTCCTGGCAGCGTTGCAGCTAGCGGCTGGCAGACTGCACTGCTCCCATCCCTGCTGCTGCACCTAGTAAGCAATAAAAGAGAGGAGTCTGCTACTCAAAAGAAAATGGTCTGCATTTCATATAAAGGCCACGTAAGCGGTATTACTTGGCAAGCAACCAACTTGCATCTGGGCCAGAGCAGCCTTCATTCAAGCATCCCTCTGAGGCATTGAGCGGAGGTGCCCTTTGCCCATCCCTGAATGGCTGCCTGGCTGGAAGTTAGAAGTTTTCTCAGCATCCTCTGGGAAAAGCAAGAGGATAAACGAAAGTGTCTTGGCCAGGACTGCCTGTGACTGAAAGGAAAAGGAGCCACGGCTCAGTATGGATCCCTTGCCCACATATACCTCCTCATGGAGACAGGGCTGGTCTTGCTCTGAGCCCCAAGCCCTTGGCAGCATCAGGCACATTCAAAATATAAGGAGAAACATATGAGAAAAAGCCCAAAGATCCAGTTAGACTTCCTTCTTGCAATGAGCGTGCATTTGCCTGATGACCCCTGGTAGACACATCCATTACAGAAATGGCATGGGAATGCCCAGGTAACACTGACTGCTGGTGGCTGCTCCCAGCAGCTCCCTGGTCCAGGCCAGCTGCCCCTGAAGGAGAGCTCTGCCCACGAGAAGGGAAGAGCAAAGCACTGTATCATCCAGCAGGAAGATACTTAACTACTGTTCAGCAAATACTGTATTGCAGTGCTGTTGGCTGTGACTGGCTGCAGACCACAGACCACGCTTCCTTCTCAGTACTATGCAAATATTCGAGCCATGTCCCTGGCAGGTAGAAAGAGGAATGAGGCAGAAAATTGTAAGAGATGGGCTGAAGATTGGTCCTGCCAAGACTGAAAAATGAAAAGCAACTTTCTCTCTGAAGAGGTATCATAAAAATCCTACTGTAGGGCTTCTGGCATGTCCAGATCAAAGGTGCACATCTAGCCAGTTCAGAGATGCCTCCTCTGCAAACCAGGCTGGAAGCTAAAAGGAAGCTGTTTGCTGCCTCCAACACTGTCAGTGGTAACAAGAGTTTTGGAAAACAGTTTGCTCTGAACCAAGCTCAGTGTCCCAGGACAACCCCAGTTCTCTCTTTTTTTTTAAAAAAAAATAAAAGCCACACATGAGAGCTGCAGATGTGAGTCTGAACACAGGCAAGAAACACCCCCAGAAACCTGCCCACCACGCCGTGTCACTGAGCCCTCCAGGACTATCCTGCATTGCTGCATCGGGTATGCTACACCCCACTTCCCTTGCCATGCTGAGCCTGGGATATGCCATGGCTACAGGGCAGCTGGTGCAGAAGGCAGCGTTGTCTATGCCATCTGGGTGCTGCTCTCTTGGCTAGGGCTCTCCTGAGCAGTAGTCTGACATTGCTTCAAGTCTTTATTATGGGGGTTTAAAAAAAAAAAAATGGAAGGGATTTTTAAGTTGACTTCCTAGCAATGTGGTTCCATAAGAAGAAAACTCATGATGTCCACTGGTCATGAGGCCAAGCTGCTTTTGCTCTGGAGGACTCTGCATCTTGGAGCAGGCATGGGCTTTGACCATGACAGAAGAACCTGAGGAGATGGGCTCACCAAAGCCCCTCTCTCATTGCCTCAGCTGGTGACACCATGCCAGCCCTGCCCTGAAATGGCACAATCACTTGGCAAGGTCTCATCCAATTCTCATGATTTACAATTGAAAAAAAAAAATAAATCCCAACCCTCTTGGCCATCCAGTGGCTGTTTTGTTCAGCCATAACCATTAGCATCTCAACCTGACCTGCATGCCCTGCCTCCATCTTCCCAACTCTGAATCACCTGTTCTCCTGTCCTGGCTGTGTCACTGTGTTTCTCTCATGACTGGTGTCCCCCACCCTTGGGGACGGCCCCCACAGCCAAGGCAGGGATAGGGCAGGAGAAGAAGGCTGTGCCCTCCCAACCTGCCCTCTCCACTAATGCTGAGGAACCTCTTGGCAAAATGAATAAAACTAAACCAAGAAAACTGGGTCCCACAAGACTTCTAACTAGAAAGGCTTTTGGCCAAGTTAAAGAAGAAACTAATACTGAGTCAGTCCAGCACAGAGCAGCCAGTTTCACGCCCCAGTCCAAATTTTTGCCTCCAGAAACATCAGTGACACCCTCCCCCCACCCCATGGGTCCATGTATAAAACCCTCACAAACACCTGTGGGAAGGCCAACATGAGAGCGGACACCCGCAACCCTCAGTAGTCCTTGTCACCATAGTCATTGTAAAGGACACTCAGCGTCTGCTCCTCGCATGTCTTCTTGAGGTCCCGGCTCAGCTCCGACCAGTCGAGCCCATAGGGCTTGATCTCACTGTAGCGGCAGGCAAGGTATTTGAGGGATGAGCGCTGGAGGCTGATCTTGGGCTCTTGCAGGAGGCCATTGCACCAGCTGCTGAGGTCCCCCAGCTGCGAGAGGATGAGTCCGGCCTTCCTGCAGTGAGGGAGGGCACGGAGAGATGCCAGGGGGGACAGACAGCAAGGGGGCAGTGAGGGTGATTGAGACACCATGGAGGAGATGGAAGGAAGGGCAGGAGGAGCATATGAGGAGAGAAAAGCAAAGATGGTTAAGAACACCACAGGGAGCTCCTGAAGGGCGAAGAGATAATGCAAGAGTTGGGCAGCATGGAGAGCAGCTGAGTGGAGCCTGATGCTGCCAGGATGAGGAGGGTTGGCAGGGCTGGGGGGACACAGCAGCCCTGTAGCAGCACTACAAACCTAAATGCATGCAAGACCAGCCCCTACCTGGAACAGAGATGCCTGTGCCACCACAGCAGTGCTGGACCTGCTGCACAGGTCTTGGGACTCAGCTTACACTTCCCTGCCCTGTCCCCCTTTCATCTTCCACCCCATATCGTTCCCACAACAAGGCCAGGTTTGCTGAGGGTTTAGTGAGGGGACAGCCACAAGTGTAGATGTGAAACTCCCAGCACCCCTTGGGAGGGACATCATCAACAACTCAGATGGCATCACTACTCACTGCTGCAGCTACTGGACCCCAGATATAACAGGATGGGAAAGTAGGAGCCAAAAGCACTGCAGAGAAATGCTAAAAAGTGTCAGGCATGGCACGTGTGGCTAGCCCAGGGCAGTGTCACCACATGTGTCCACTCCATGAAGTGCATGTGTTGCATATTTGGGAACTGTGCTGGTCACATTTGGGAACTGTGCTTGATGTAGAGCTCCAGTGACATCAGAAAGGACAGGGAAAAGGCAAGCATGCTGGGAGCTTACCATCACGTAGCTGAAGGGAATGTGATGGAGAAGAAATGCACAGTATTGGGAGCCAGCATGCTGGGACACCAGTGAGCATGAAAGAGATTCGGGGAAAAAAAACACTTAAAATATCATGCCTGGCTTGTGGGTGTTTGCATGGAAGGATGAAGGTGAGACAAAAATTACAGTCCTCACAAGATGCAATATCACAAGATATAAGTACAATGAATGACACTCCTGGTACGTGACTTGTAATGTTTAGTAACAGTTTAGGAAATGTGTCCCACAGGACAGTGCACAAACTAGAAGGAATATACTGAGGCATGCAACACAGGTTTGATCCAAAAAGATCTGAGAAAGCAGGGGATGTGGCAGAACTCCCCAGTTCTTTGCATGTGCGTTTTGCACTTTCCAATTGCAAAGAGCAAAACAAGGAAAAGCAGGTCATGGCAGTAGCACTTCGTAAAGAGCCACAACCCAACCAAGCAAGCCAGGAGAGAAGGTTGGGTGACAGAGGGAGAGGACGTCCAAGAGGAAACCATCTTCAGAAGAAGACAGACATGCAGCACCTCCAGGACAACAAAGCCTTGGTGTGGGCTTGTTCTGGTAGTGAGAAAGTGCTATATTACAAAGCCCTCATGTTGGATGAGATATTGGAAGAGTGCAGAGGATCCTAGCCAAATATGACCAAATTGTGTTCTCTTCTTTTCATGTTTTTCCTCTTAAAATTGTACTCCTAATGCTTTTATCAAGAAAAACAGGTTGCTCAGATAAAACCATCACGTTAATTTTAAACTTGTCTAGCACTTGGGTTATCTCCAGGGAATCTGGCAAATGTGGAGGTAAAGGAGTCAAATGAAGTGTCTTGAAGGTGAGTATCGCATGTGCTTGGAAATCCAACAAAAGTTTAAGTGCCTGAAGAGCTCAGATAAATTCCCTATCCAGCTTCAAGGGCAATTGGTGGGTTAGGATAGACAGGGAAGAGGAGATACACCCCCTTTAACTCGGCATCTGTTCAGCACAAAACAAGCAGCAGTGTTGTGGCTGGTTTGACAGCTCAAGGGCACATGTACCAACCATTGGAGGAACATCCACGGCCTGTTGACACCTTCCTCCAGGCCAGGTACACCATGGGAGGGCTGCTTAGAGAGGAATTATTTTACCCCAGGACTAGCCAGAGCCTTGACTTTCCTGCAGAGGAAACCCTCAAGAGCCATCACGGAGGTGGTTGCAGCTCCAGAGGTCTGGATAGAACGCAGTCCATTTAATACAGTAAAAACTGTGAAATAAAATTACTGTGAACTGTATGTGTTTTGTGTGTGTTTTGGGTTTTTTTTAATGACCAAATGTTTAAAGAAATTACTGGAAAATGTTTAAAGAAAACACTAGGGAAATTGTATTTTGTCAGTTCTGTGGACAGTGCTTTCTTTAAAGCGGGGAGTTTTTAGGATGTACTTCTGAAGTGTTGGGCTTACAAAAATGCATTTTGTGCCACTCTGAAATGGAAAAATGAATTGGAGAAACAAACTTCTCACCGTAATTCCTTGCAACAAGTTCTTGTATCACAGGCTGTCCAAAGAAGCCCAGGGCACGGGGGCAGGTCTGGACCCACTGAGTGGTTGTCCAGCTCTGCAGCCACATGACACCTGCAGCCCCAGGGCTCATCCAGAGCACAGCAGAAAGGTGAAGGTGCTTAGCATGGTGCTGACTCTCGAGATAGCCAGGTCTTACAGCTGTGAGAAGGCAGCCGACCTCTCACTTGTCATGGTCCCTACCTCTAGACATCTAGGCAAGGTGTTGTGACTGACTCTCTTCCTCCAGCATCACAGGTACCCTAACAGGAACATTGAATACGATCCCACAGATTTTGGCTCAAAGCCCACAAACGCCACCAGACTTCACTAGGCCTTGCATCAAATCCTACTTTGACTTAGTGCTTGCTAGAAAATTACTTGCCTTTCCCTGCATTTTCTCTCCTTATGCAAAGTCCAGGGCTCTCTGCGGCTCTTCTTGAACTGGGAGGGAGCAACTCACTTTCGTAACTCCAGACAAGTTATCTGCACACACCCTTGCTTCCTTTGGTCCAGCACCCAGCGTCACCAAGAAGGGAGGCGAGCACACCCCAAGCAAGCAGAGCCAGAAGGCAGCATAGCCACGTGGAGGAGGAGGGACATGGTAGAGTCAGTCGCGTGGGTCCACATCCAGGACTTCAAAGGAGCATCAGCAACAGTCAAACAAACACTCTGTCTGCTGGCTAAATAATGTCATCTGCAAGTGATTTGTCCTGTCACCACCAGTCTGGATGCTTCGCCCTCACAGACGATCAAACAGGAGGTCTGCTTTCCAAGATTTGTCATCACCAGAACCCATTGCAGCTGCCTAAGTAGCTTTCCAAGTAGCACAAGCTGCAAACACTTCATCAGCAACTTGCGTCATCCTATCCTAAGCACTCCAGCATTTCCAGAGGGTGGAATTAACCCTCTGGCTCATAGATTCACACAGCAAATGGTAACATTTGGGCAATTCAGTGGCATTTCTGGCTGCTCCATGCCAATGCACCTCTGCCATATGGGGCTCAAGGATGCAGCTTCCACCCTATGTTCTGGCTGGTCCTTGGTCTCCTCACTGAGGCAGTAGCAGCGATGGCCATGTTCAGCCTCAGTGATGGCAGTGGCTGTGTGATGACTCCAGTCTTCACATACGAAATTTTATGTACTCCTCATGCAACCCATCACAGCAGATGTCAGATGGTCTGTGCAAACCAGGGCTGGATTTCACATCTGGAGACAGCAGCATCACCACAGCTGGACTCGAGATGAAGGTGAGACATTAGTCCAAGCCTCCTGATCCCACTCATTGTCACGGGAATGAAGCAACCCTGAGCAGAGGAGCTGGTGGGAGCCTCAGCCTTAATGAGACTCCACATGCCACAATGACACTACTGAAATTTGAGACTGTGCCTCAAAGTGCTCATATTTCTTAGAACATAAATGGGAAAAAGGAAAGATGAGAGACCCTAGATTTGTCCCAGGGAGTGAAGGAACTCTTAGGAGTTTCCCACCAAAGCTGGACTAGGAGACATGCCTAAGACACTAAGTGCAAGACAACGACCAGCTATTTGCTGAGTCTTTCTGACCACCTAACGGAGATTTGGAGGTCAGAGAAGGTATGCAGTGGATCTCCAGTCCTCTACTAGAAATCCATAAGTGATCACCTGGAAAAGCAGGGTTGGAAGACAGCTAGAACTGTGAGAACAGCAGGAGGAGTTGTGGGACAGCGGGTAAGGTGAAGGACATGCATTTCATAGATAGAAGTTGGTGCTGACGTACATTTGAAGTAATCCTTATTTCCTGATGTGCTTAAGGTTCCAATTCTTTGGAGGCCAGATGCTATGAAACACCACTGCAGCCCACACAATCTCCCATCCCAGCTTGCTAAACTGACTGGAAACATCCACGTTACTGGGAAACCATGCAGACCAAAGCAGATGTTGAGGACATGGGAAAAAGGGAATATCGGACTGCCTCCGCAAGCACAGGGCACAAGGCACCCCATCCCCTAGCAGCTAGAGGGTCTGGAGTGACCTGGAGGAGCCCAGGGAGAGGACACAGTGCTCACTCAGGCACGAAGGGACTGTTTCATCCAGGAAGACCTCAGGGCATCCTCCTCCACAACCTGCCATGGTAGCTTAGCACTGCCTGGGTACCAAAACCACTCGCATCCCTGAAATCACCCTACATGACCACAGTGATAGATCAAAAGGGAGGAAACACATGCAATTCAGACCCAGTGTCAGTCCACGGCCTGCTCTGGACTGCAAGTGACAGTAAATTCAACACACAGAGATGCATTCAACTCAAGCCAAATCCCAGGAAAAGGAGGAAAGCCAAGTCTGATCTTCACATGGCCCAGTTTGTTTGCACAAATACTTTATCCAGCAGCTTCCACAACTGAGCTCTTCTGTGTCACCTTCTCTGGCAGGCTTGAAGGTACGACCACCACCTTGCACCTTCTTCCCTCCATCAATGCATAGGGCCCTTCTCTAGGAACACACTTGGACCACACTCTCTCCCCTTCTCACCCACAACCACATTCATTCCTTAAAGGTACATTATTTTTCCAAGACCTTCTGCCTTTTGGATTGTGGAAGCAGCTACTGAGGGAGAAAAATAATCCCATCCCCTTCCCACACTGCATAGCATGAACGGACTAGGCAAAACTCCAGAGAAGTACAGGGCTTGTGAGATGGACATGGATGATGTGTAGATAATGGTCTAACCATCTTCCACCTTATCCTATGTTTATGGTCCTTCAAGGGAGAGTCTGGACCCCAAACATATGCACAGCATCCAGCAAAACAGGAACCCCACTATGAGACTCTTAAATTCTATCATCAAACAAATTAATGAAATTTGCCAGAGAGTCACCTTCCTGGTGACCAACAAGTGATAAGCCTGTTGGTGGGCAGGCCTGCCTGCCTAGCCAACCCAGCTCCTGAGCCTACCTGGGCCCCAGTTCATCTTCACAGCGCCAGGTGAACTCCCCAAAGCTCTCATAGTGCTGGTTGTAGTGATAAAGGACTCGGTGTAGGCTGGGGGAACCCAGGTCCAGCAGAGTGTTGTAGGCTGTTTGCTGCTCCTTGCCACTGGTGTAGCCATTGAAGAGGTTGTAGATCTTATCTGCTATTTCTGGGCAAAAGGACAGGGTGTATTCAGTGGGATGCAAGGAAAGGCATGGACAAAGCCCACCAGGCTAAAGTTCAACTCTAAGGAAACCAAGACCAAAGCCAAGATTTGACCCCTAGGTTATGAATTACATCATATCAAGACAAAGTCCCAATGGAGAAGCAACAGAGTAGATGGCATTCCTTGGACTCAGTCTGAGTTAGGTTCCCCTGGTTTGGTCCAGGAAAAGAGATATGTGGTGTCATCAGGTACTGTTAGTGAAATACCATTTATTTATGAGAAAGCACACAACTGGGGTTTCTTGAGCACAGCCACCACATACACTACCAGTTGCTTTCTGGGGAGGACAGGGAGGTCTTGTTTTTTTTGGTATGTCCTGAATGCCTGCCCCTCCACCCATCTTCCCACCCCTCCACCAGCACAGAGTGCCTCTGTGTTTGTTGGAGGAGAAGATGTGTGCCTCCTGCCACCCTCCACACCAGCCCTCAACCACGTGGCAGTACCTGGGCCAGCATGGGTGAAGGAAATGCTACAGCCAGGTCACGAGATGTGTGGGGGGACATGCTGGAATGGGGAACTCCCTGTTGCTCATCTCAAGCATCACAGTCCAGCAAATCCCTCCGTCTCACCTTGAGCTTTCACATCATCTACCACAGGGCAGGGGGTCTTGACCGTCACATCACTGGACCTGGAGTGTCTTCCTGTGTTATCAACTCCCCAGAGTGTGAACCTGGCCGAGAAGGAAAAAGGTGAAGCTCTGGACTTACAAGACCTCATACAAACACAGGCAGCAATAGAGAGAAGCACCACGGACAGGGTGACGGCACTGCCATGGGCATGGCACAGGGGAGGCAACTCACATATAGGTGGTGTCGGGCTCCAGGCAGCGAACAATGAGGGAAATGGTGGAGGAGAGTCTGTCGGGTACTTGGGCTGGCATGGCACAGGGTGACTTGGCACCAGAGATGATGTCATCTACGAAGCTCAGCACCGTCTCTAGGGAGAGAGGGGAGGGCGTGCTGTGGGTGACGACAGGTGTCCCCAGGGCTGTGGAGAGCCACTCAGGTCTGTGCCCCCTACCACACTGCCTGGTGTTGAGGGGCATCAAGGCTCATGCATGAGGTTGTTGCAGAGATAGACCCATTTCTTCTCCAGCAAGGCTCATTACCATGGCATGGAGCTGCCACTTCTGCACATGGTGGGCAGGGGAGGGGCTGCTTTCTCTTCCACAGGATACTGTAATGTGTTGCAGCATCCCCTCCTTGCAAAGAGGGAGACAGAGGCTCTCCTCCAACATCTCCATCCCACCCTCCCCAGAGAGAACCAGTGGCGTCCCCACTCACCTGTCTCCACCTTGGAGTGGTCCATTCTATCAGTGACTTTCTCTTGACGGAGGAGGTAGTCGACGATCTGCACCCCGATGGGGGGCTCCGAGTGCCCCCACTCCAGCACTACCAGTGTGCTGCTGGGCTCATGAACGGTGGAGAGCCGCAGGCTGGGGGGCAAGTCCAGCTGGTCAGCATCTCAGGAGGGCAAGGTCTGCCAGCTGTCCCCACCACACACCCAGGATCACCCTCACCCATGTCTATCACCATCTTTCTTCTCCTTTTTTTCCTTAAAAAGGCAGCAAAACCACCAAGCTGAGGCAAATGATATGGGGGAGATGCTGAGGACAACCTCTCTAGACAGTCCCCATAGCTGGTGCAAAAGGCAGCATGAGTGTGTTTGCTAGTGCCACTCACTTCTGTGCAGGCCATATGCAAATGTACCAGAAATTAGTTGGTTTCTGTAAGGTAGTTTGTAGGGACTGTTTTTGCATTAGTCTATCACAGCAAAAGGGCTGCAAAGCCACCCATGGGAGAGAGTAACCTTGGGAGAGAAGCAACCATCCCTCTCCTACCCCTCCTGGCTCTGGGCATGCTGGTCCAAGGGGATCCTTCCCTGGGGTTGCTCTACCAGGATGGATCCAACACCAGCTCCCCAGTCCTCAGCTGAATGTAGAAAAGACACTCTCTCCGCCTGGCTTCCAGGCCCCCATCCACTTGCAAACCTGTCCCATAAAGCCACCCCAGTCCCACCACTTCCTGGCACCACATCACTGGTCATTGTCACCTCCTCCCAGACCCATCATACCAAGAGGCCAGGCTGGGCATGCATGGAGACCTACATGGGGTGTGGGAGAGGCGCACAGGTGGGCAGCCCGTCAGCCCCGAAGGCACTCGAGTCGCAACGGCACCAGTCCTCGATGACATCCCCGCTACCTGAGCACCACAATGAGCTCATGGTGGCCTCCTGCAAGAGCTGAGAGAGAGGAGGAGTTGAACACTAGGCAGGTGAACTTCCATCCCGTCACCACTCAAGTCAGTGTTCATCTTTGGTAAGTTCAGTATGGTCCACCCACCCTGAAGAGCAGGGCCAGCCAGTAAGCAAGGGCTGCCATGGCTTGACGTGATGCTACCAGGGCAAGCTGCCTGCAAAGACTACCCCAATGCTGCACTGCAACCACCCATGCCCACCCCACCACTCCCAGCCAGTGGTTTCTCACCCGCTGGGTCTGGTTGTTGGTGACCAGCTCATAGATGGGGGCTGCTTTGGTGACCTCCAGCAGGATGGGCTCAGCTGGCACATCAGGACTGGAGGCAACATGACAGAGTGGGCAGGAGGAAGGGCAGCGTCCACGGCTCTGGCACTCCATCCGCACACCAGCTGCCATGCGCTTGGTGCCTGACTCGGAGAGGCTGGCAATGTACTCGGGGAAAGTGAGCACCTTGGGGTCCCGCTCATGCTCCTCTGACTCATCTGAAGGGGAGTTGCCTGGGGAAGGGGGAAAAGAGGGGCACCAGGGTGGGCTTCAAGCCATCGATAAGAGGATGTGAGGGGCCTAGAGCCCTACCTTCCCCCCAGGAGAGAGGCAGTGCTGCCCAGAGACCCGACTCTGTACCCTTAAGAGCTCCCCATTTGTTCTGTAGGGATGAAGTGTTTACCCCATTTGTTCTGTAGGGATGACGTGTTTACTGGTCTTCAGAGGGAAAATCAGGAATGAGAAGTCCACTCTGGCCTCTGCAATCACAGGTCCTTTTGTATCCCCATGCCTCAGCTTCCCCAGCCCCAACCCTTTGTCTGGCACTGGGATAGGTCACCCTTGCAGCAGGTCCCCACGAGAGGGAGCCTCCTTCATGTGGCTGGAGACTCATGAAGGACCTGCCTAGGCACCTTCATCCCATGCAGACACCTTGTCAAAACCCCCTGCCAAATCACTCCACTGCATAAGCCCTCTTGGCCCAAGAGAATATTTCTTTGCTCGAGTCCCTTGGTTCCCAAGGGTCCCCATCAAAGCTGATGTGACAGAGCATGTTGGAGACAAGAGAGGATGAGTGTCAGACCAGGGTGCAACAGCAACAATTCTCACTCAGTGCAACACCACCATCACCAACACCACACCCTGCAAAGGTCTGCAGCCAGCAGCACCAAAGAGCTCAGAATGAGAAGGGAAGACTTGCTGGTTCCTCACAATGCCCAGAAAGCTTCCAAGATGGCTACAAAGCCACCAAGCTCCTCTCCAGCCCCTCCACCCCTCCTGCACTCAGTCCCCATGCAAGGGCAGGGACATGGGCAGTAGTTCTCTTTCAGGAGCTGGCTCAAGCCTGGCTCTTCCTGTCTCAGGGCACAATGGAGGTGGGTAAAGTTGCAGTGGGGCAAGGAAATAGGGCCCCTTCCTCAGGACTTAGCTTACAAAGCACCATCACGAAGCAAAAGAAAATGCTGAGGTGGAGGCAGATGTGTTCATCAGGACTGCAGACCTCCAGCCAGATGGTGACAAGGCTGAAGGCTTATTTACCCTCTGCTCTGTGCACACAGGGAAATATCTGCAGGTCCCATCATGTCAACCCTGCAACCCAACAGGCTTAGAAAAAAAGATTTGAAGCAGGAAAGCATTGCCACGGGCTACCATTTTCCCAGCTCTATGCAAAAAAGCCTGATGCTGGGTGACGCCATGTCCCCATCACACAGGGCAGCGAGACAAACCCTGCACTTGATGAGCTTTTCTCCAGCTGTCCTACAGCAGGGAGTATTTTGACACAAGGAGAAAAATCCTGGTGCAGCAATCAAGAAGGTAGGATCTGGCCATCACTGTGGTGCCCTGGCTAGTGTCTCCCCACTGCTGCAAGCCTTGCTGTGCAGGGGAATGGTGCTTTTCACCCAAAAGCCCTACTGAAGGATGTCCCTGCCTCTGCACAAAAGAAAGAGGGTCCCAGAGGGAACACTGGTGATGGTCAAGGCAGGCCAGTGGGGCTGCAGCAAGCCAAAGAATGCTCAGGCAAAGCCTCACCCCTGGGGCAAGCTCAGGACATTGCCAGCAGAGGCTTAGCACAGGCTGGTTGCTGCAGGGAACTGTCGGAGAGCACAGCCATGGCTCAACAGGAAGATCTTCCCATTACAAGGGTTTGCTGAGAAATGGGCCAGTGCTAGCCTATCCTTGAGACTCCTGCTAAGAAAACAAGGCTGCTAAACAAAACCCGGGATACAAGAGCATTGCTTCGCTCCCCCAGGGAGCTGGAAATGGATCGCTTTGGGTTGGCTGTGAATTGCAGCTTAGCAGGCACTGAGGGAAAGCAGAGGAGCCAAGGAATGATTTGTCTCTTGCAATTTCTCAATCGATATCCAGCTCCTGACGTTTGCAAACAAAACGCAAAGGAGGGAAAGTGGCAGGTGCCAGAGCGAAACCGAAATGTGATATTGTGGGTGGAAAGAGACTGCCAGACCTGAAAAGCCTCCAAGCAGGAAAATCAAAGAGGAGGAAATTACAGCAGAAAAAAAAAAAGTACTTGCAATCAAAAGATGCTACATCTGGAGAGAGCCCACAGCAAAACAGCAACGGGTCTGTACTGTCGCAGGTGGGCTTGGGAAGAAGTCCATGCTTCAGGAGGTCTGAGCCCACAGGATCCAGACAGGCTCACAGAGAAGCCTTCCCCACACAAGAGTCCTGGAGAGAAAACAAATGTCTTCACAGCCGAGGCACAGCAAGAGCAGCACTGTAGGCTGGTGCCAACACTGAGAATTATGAAGCTTCATGATGGAAACGATGCGGCAGTGAGCCCCAAGCTCATGCTGCCTGTGCCCAGGAGCTTCTGGGCAGGGGGCAGCAAACCAAGGTCACCTAAAAAGCAGCAGCTCCACTTGGTATCTCCCATGTCCAGGCTTGGGAGCTGGCTCTGGATTGTCCCCCCAGCCTGGGCGGTGGAACTCAGTGTCCCCAGCACAGGCAGCAAAATGCCTGTGGGCAGCTTTGCAAAGACCAGTACAAGAGATGCTGTGGTTCTGATGACAGCTAGAAGCAGGCAGGCGTTAGGCTGCCTCTGCTTTTGGAAATCTTGCATCCAAACCAGACATTGCCTCTCTGCAAAGCCCCTTTCACCAGGGATCTGTCACAACTTGCTGCATTGAGTGCACTGGAAGGGGATGCAGCAGTGCTGGATGCCCTCTGCACCATGGTGAACCTCCCAGTTCATATCTGGTTTCCAGATACTAAAACACAATGCTGACATCCCGGAAGAAGGAAACACCTTAGAAGGAGAAAAGTCTGGCCGCAGGATGCAAGTGGAAGAGAGCAGATATGGCACAGACAAAAGAAAGGAAGGAAGGAACACGATTAAAGACAAATAACTATTAAATCCAGAATCAGGCAGGATGGCTTGGTGGGATTAGTGCATTCATCTTTCATCTCCCTGGGGATGTGGGTATTTATCTTCATTTCTGGCCTGGACTAATGCCTGCTGCCATGCATGGCAGTCCCTCAGCTGGCTTCAAAGGGTGTGAGAGTGAGGTGTAAATAAGAGGATGAGATGGGATGCAGCCCTGACATGGACTGTGCACTTTCCTGGCTATGCAGAAAGCAAACTCAACTTCCTCCTCCCATAGGGTGGCTGTAGGGACCCTTCCTAGGGACGAGCAGGGCTCCTACCTTTGCTGATGTCCTCATACTCCAGCCAGAGCTGCCGCTGGACCTGCCTATTGGGATACCAGATGGAGCAGGACTCCTCAAAGCCATACACTGCCTCCTGGATGTAGTGGTTGCCAAACTGGTCCAGCAGTGCCACGAAATCTCCACGGGAGGTGGCCCCGTCCAGAGAGTGGAGTGCGTTGCTGAAGGCTGGGGAGGAGATTAGAGGAGATGCTCAGATCCCAGAGGACCCCAAGCCTTTGGTACCTCCCTACATGCTTGCAATGGGCAACCAACCTCTGAGTCCATCACCTGCCAGAAGGCGTTGTGTCCTCTCACCACCCCTTTTTTCCTTCCTCCCCCCTGTCCCGCATGCTTACACTGGGAGATGGTCAGCTGGTTGAGCCGGACGTGGTACATGACGGACTTCACCTTCCAGTGCTGCAAGAGGGGGTACCCAGACACCTCACTGAAGTTCACCATCCCTGCCAGAGAAAGAACAGGGGGACTCAGTGCTGCTGCCCAGGGATGCCTCACCATGGGGGTGGCTGCAGCCCCTTGTGTCATGCCCTGGGGCAACATAGCCAGTGTGGTGGGAAGAAGCCGGGGGAAAGGACTGTGCACACACCATGTCCACCCAGGGAGACGTCAAGGTGTTCAGAGCTGCAGGTCAGCTGTTCCCTAGTAATTAAAATCATGGCTTTGAAGGGGAACACATGGGCTCGTTTCATCCTGCCATCCGGGGCTCTGTGTTGGAAGATAATGAGCCTCTTGAATCCCCTCCTGCTTCCTTCACCGCGTCCGCTACCAAGACATACCCAGGTGTGCTAATTATCTCACTAATGAGAGTTGCGCTTTTTAATGAGCTGTTTGCAGGCCTGGGAATGGTCACAGTCATGCCACGTGTGCCCAAGTGTGGACAGACAAGAGCCTTTGGGTCCCTTTTGGCCAGGACTGAGCACAACAGGACACACGCATCTGGAAGAAAATTGCATGCCTGTCAATGCTCATGCTCCCTTGGGACATTATGGCAATGCAGGGGCTGAGCAGTACCTGAGGTTTCTACTTCTCCAGGAAAAGACAACTTGTTCTCCAGCCATTGAACTGCGTGTTATGGGAGACAGAAATTCATGGAGTCCAGGGCTGGGCAGCCACTTCATCCTGCTCAAGGCACAAGCCATAGCACATGGCAGCGCAGCTTCCATGAGCAGAGAGATAGAGAGGCCACCGAGCCTTGGACAAAGCCCCAGAAAGGGAATTGAAAGGTGCTCATGGTTTTGACTTTGGGGAGTGGAACATCCCTCGGTTTGCTGTAGCAGGATGCTGGGACCCAGCCACCTGCTCCTTCGCAACACTGCTGCCATACAGCCAACACGGCACATCTCCGCTCGGCAGCAAAGCGGCAAACACTGCCGCTAAACAGCCACACACCAGGAGTTCAGGAGGATAACAATGGGCATCCCCCCCGTAACAAGAAATGAAGGCATGAGGATAAGGAGGATAAGATCCTTTGCCTTCCAGTGCCTCTCCCTTCAGTGCGCTGCTACCAACAGCTACAAAGCCTTGCTCTTCCCTTCAAAGTGTTTATGCTCTTCCCTTCAAAGTGTTTACTCAGCAGCTCTGCCTCTTGTGTATTCACAGTAATATCCAGATCTGCTTACTGACAAGCAGAGATTTTACTTCTTTTCTTTTTTTTTTTTTTTTTTTTTTTTTTTTTTTTTTTTTTAACTTTTTTTCTTAATCAGCCACAGAGAGCCAGTAGAGCAGTGGGAAATGAACAGGATAATTTACTGGCTTCTGCCTTCCTAGCATCATTGCCAGCAGAATCCCAGCCCCACCAACCCCATCATGATGCTGAGGCTGTGATGGTGCCACCTTCACTACATCCGCGTAACTATGTCAGTGCAGTGGGGAGGACAGCAGAGCTTCTCTGGGAGGCAGGTGTCCTCCAGCACCTCCAGGTAGGGTTGAGTATCCCCATGGCTGCAGGGGTGACCCAAGGGAAGCTCAGCACCCTCTTCTATGTCTGCATCTGCCCTTCACACACCTACATTGCCATGCACCCCGTCAGGGCAGCCAGCACCCATCGGACCCTGCATGCAGCCCATGGGTGCTCCCCAAAACCCTCCTGGGACCTCTGCCAAATAGGGTGAATTCATAAGGTCCTGTATGAGACCACCCTGCAGAGACCTTTGAAAACACCTTGTTATCCACATCACTGATTTAGTAGCTGCCCAGTGTCCTCAGCCACTTCAGCCAACAGCAACAAGCACTGAGTAAACAAAGGCTATTTAAGGATACTGGCAACTTGGTGGAAGAAAGGTAAAACCTTGAAGGTTGTCTAGGAATCCATGATAACCCTGTCACTCATGGCCCACGATGATCTGGCAGGACAAACTAAAATATTTTGGTTTGGCTGCAGCAAGTTTTGAATGCTTCACTATGCCAGCAAAGGGTTTCTGATTTAGAAATCAAGTGAAAAGTGTTTGAAACCCTTTTTTGCCTTGAATAAAAAAAAAATATCATTTTATCATTTTTTCAAATATCTCAAATACCCAATGAATGCTTGAGCTTTTAAACCACATAACTAATTTATAGCCTCTCCCCCTCCTTAATTTTTAATGTCTTCCTCTTACCACTGCTGCTGCTGCAGGTGAGTGCGGGATGCTAAAACCAGATTAGACATATCCCATGGTAGATATATCCTCTGAGAGGTGTAGGTGCTGAAGCCAGGTATGCTGGAAGGTGCCCCACTGAGAGAAGCGCTGTCCGGCCAGACACACTCACCGGTGAGGAACTCCGGGTCAGGTGTGGGGTCGGAGAGCTCCTCTTGGCACTGGTTCTCCAGAGGCACCGTGGCCACGACCAGCCCATCCGGCAGCTGCTGCTCCAGGCCCCGGGCAAAGTTGTTCTGCCTGGAATTTAATTGCAGAAAGTGCAGGGATGGAGGACATGGGAACTGCCTGGAATCATTCCCACCAGCTGGTGACCCATCCCAAAAAGCTACCCAGCGCCAAGCCTTTCTTTTGGGCATGGGTTACAATGATGTCCACTCTTGATGGAAAGCTTCAGATGCACCCTCCTCACCAGCCTGCAAAGCTTGGCCAGACATGCATGGATCAGGCAGTCTGCGAAGGTCCAGCCCCAGGTTGCTTCCAATGACACCTTCTCAGAGAGGACAGCAAGGTCTCACCCTGCTGGGGTCACCTCCCCACATCCCCAACTCACCTGAATGTCCCTTTGAGCACCTGCCCCGTGGCCACCTCCTTGGAGTGGTTGTTGTAACCGTAGAAAATCTCTCCGAAGAGTGTCTGGTTCATGGGCAGCTCACGGGGCTCACCACAGTCCCCTGCCTCAGGGCATGACTCCGAGATGAGCTGGCATGACCGCCCGTCTGTGCCCAGCTTGTAGTCCTCAATGCACCTGGGAAGCCAGCACAGAGTCCACCATCAGCTGCAGTCCCCACTGCACCAGGGGCCACCAGGCCACCTCAGAAGGGACACAAGGAATGGAAGAGACCTCCCTCTCAATCCAGCTACGAGCTCAGGGTGGCAGCGGCAAGGTACAGCAGTACCTCTGGAGTGTCCCTGTGGCCACAGCAGTGATGGGGCACTCACCCACAGAACATGAGGATGTTGTAGAGCAGGGGCTCCTCAGGCAGGGGGACCATCTGCTGCAGGCACAGCTGCTCACAGCCCCCATTGAAGCCATCTGAGCAGTCCACACCAATGTGACGGTCATAGCAGCCCGTGCCATCCTTCATGGGGCTCAGTCCTGATGGGCACTGGTGGGGGTGGAAGAAAGAGGTAAAGACCCCAGGGTAGAAATCTGTCCCAGGGGTGTGATCTGAAGGTCAGGGCTCCAGTGCTGCTCTCCATTGGAAATTGCAGCCTGAGTGATGCTTGAGGGCTGCAGGATGGATGCTGGCAACACCACCCATGGCTGCAGATATTCCTCCCGCCTCCTCTGCCTCCAGGGAGTGGAGCCCCTGGGGTCAGAGCCCCCCAAGCCATTCCCAGGGCAGTCCCAGGTAATGGGCTGGCCTCAACCCTGCTCTGGTGGGTGCAGGGTGGCACGCAGCTCCAGTGACCACCAAAGCAATAATGCCCTTTCCAAATACACTGGCTGCCCCATGCTCACAGCCTCCCCATGGCAGGATGGCCCAGCCCCACAAACCACTCTGGTTTGGAGCACACACTTTCTCTGCACAGCAAAGCAGCTGGTGTGGTGATAGGGGACATGTCTGAGTGATATGGGACCTCCCACAGAGCCAGCAAGCAGACAGGCTCTCACTCCCTCGTGTATGTGTGTGCAGCAAGGTCAAGGATGGAGGAGATGCCAGTCCGAAAACATCTCTTCTGCTGCAAAACCAACACCAGAATATGGGAAGGAAGAAAGGAAGGGTGCAGTACTTCCCCCTGCACCCTCCCCCTCTTTGCTCAGACCAAAGGAGATTTGCAGGTCCCCAGAGGGACCACACACCACGCAGCCCGTTGAGTCCAGCTTGCGGTCCGAGATGCAGCGGAAGTTCTTGCTGCAGCCCCCGTTGTCCCGGGAACAGTCACGGACAGGGCCAAAGGAGTCAAGGAGGACCTCCAGGCTGTCGAAGGAGGAGGAGGTCATCAGCTCTTCCCTGTGAGGAGGAGGAGGAGGAGATGAGTCACTGCTTCAATGAGACGTTGCAAATGCATGCATGACCACAGCTGCCATGTGGGTTTTTCTGGAGCTCAGGTCTCCCTTGGTCTGACAGTGAACTAAACAGCAGCCAAGCTTTTAGAGGGATGCAGGATCTACTGAGACAATGAGAGCTACCTCTGAAGGCTCAGCTTTGCGGCCATTAAAGAGAGGCAGGTTAATGGAGGTACTAATCTCCACCTGCAAAATGTGGGGCAGAGGTCCCAGCTCTCATTACCCCCACATGCTCTCAGTTGCTCCTCTCATTCCAGGGACACACTACCAATTTGTGTGATGAAAAGCCTCCTAAACACCCTTGCCCTACCATCTCACCTACCTGACCTCCACTGCGTCCTCCATCACTGTCATGTCGGTCTTGCACTTGGCTGAGGGGTTGATGGCCAGCTCAGCTGGTGGGATGACAAAGCTCTTGCTCAGTGGCAGCCACATGCCTTCTCCCAGGGTGTAGGTGAACCTGTCGGGGAGAGTAGCAAAGGCTTGCATGGAGGGAAACCCTGACTCCAGAGGGCTACCTCTACCCAAAACCAAGCCCTTGGACCTCTCCCATGCCCTGCAGGGATGCCAGCCTGAGCAAAGGCAGATGGGCAGGGTAAAGTGGGGTGGCTCCTCCAAATGCACCTGAATAAACCAAAAAAAGCACATGTAATTTAGGTATTTTTTTTTAAAAAAAGGCACTTCCCCTTTCAGTAGAAATCCTCCTTCAGAGCCTAAACCTCACTCTTATAAATGAAGAGGAGGAACTGGCTGCTGGGCATCTAGCATCCCATATGGAAGCTGTAGTAGGACCTTAGTAGCCATGCTCACGTGTCCCCAGGAGGTGGCACAGGACAGCCATGCTCAGCCCTGCCAGCTGGGGTAGCAGCCTGCCCATGTGCCCTGAGGCATATTTTTGAGCCTCAAAATGTGCTGACCAGGTTGCCTTTACTGCTTACCGAAAAATCTTGTCAGATGGCTGCTCGCCCAGCACCAAGTCGAAGCCACGCTGAAAGATGGTGTATGGCCAAGGCCTGGAAGAGAAATCCAGGAACATCACACCGGCATTGCGCCACCACTGCCGCTCACAGCCCAAAATGCTTCACAGTTGTGCAGAGCTGTCCTGGGATGAGACAGCTCAAACCAAGACAGGACAAGGTGATGAAAAAGCCCCACATCCAAGGTCCTAATTTTCGGGTTTCTACAACATCAGATCCTCCCCCCAGTCCCAGTAGGTCAGTGGTGTATCGCGTCCTTTATTTTGGGGTACAGTGCGCTTCAGTCCCTCCCCCCGTATCTGTGAGCCTCATGATTCTGCACACTCACATACGTACCGTCTGGCCAGCTTCTGTTTTAAGGATTTGTGTCACAGCCATCGAATTGCAAAACAAAAACCAAAATACAGATTAACCCCCTCTCTCCAAGGCTTTTGTAAGGGAGCACGTCGGGTCCGGGGCTGCAGCTTCATGATCTGCCTTGGGCTTCACTGTTTCAGGAGGGGAGCTCAGGAAGTCTCATCCCCCATGGGACTTTGCAAAGGGGTCTGAAAGACAAGCTGGAAGTTTGGAGCCAAGCAGGAGGCTGGAGATCTGATGCCCCCATCTTCTCCATCCCTGCTGCCCTGGATAGCCACGGTGATGTGCAACCATGATTCAGTGGCCATTGCCCTTCAGTGGGACACTCACAACCACACCACCTTGGGACACACATCAGCATCACAGTACCACTGGCAGAGCATGACTTGCAGAGGAAGGCTGACAAGGCAGAGGAGGGGAGGCACAGAGACCCAACTGCAGTGGATTTTGAATCAGGCAACGCAAACCCCAGTCCCAAAACCTAAAGCTCCAAATCCCCTTTGCAAGAGCTGGGGAGAGAAAGAGATTTTCCATCCCATCGCATTGCTGCTGTTAAAATTCAGGGTGAGAGTATCAGGTGCCGCCAACAAGCCTGGGGATTTTCTCCAGAGGCAATTACAGCCCTCCTGCACAAGCAGTTTAATTTCTAATCTGAAGTTATTTCAGCAAGGACAAAAAAATAGTAAATAAAAATCCTGATTGCAGGATTACAGCACGCTGTCTCATTTCCTTGCCAGGATACAATGCCATTTTCCCACCCGGTTGGCTGGGAGCAGGGGATTATATTCAGCCCACAGATCGGATTGCCCTGAATGAGGTCAGCTTCGGCCGGAAGGCGATGTGCTCCTTGCAAGTCCCCGAAGCCTTGAATGCTTCGCGCCTCCGCCTTCCAGTGCTCCTGCAGATGGGCTTTATTCTTGCTTCTCATGAGCACGCCCACAAGGAACAAAAGCAGAGGCAAGGTATTGTTCCCCATCAACTCGGGTGGAAAAGCGGTTATGAAGAGCCATTCTTGGCTTGCAGTGGAGCTCAGTGCCAGGGCAGAGACTGCAGAAGCGCGGTGACTGCCAGGCCTCTGCCAGACAGCACATCTGGCAGCCCGTGAATGCCAACATGTCTAGAACGTGCAGCCAGTGGGCTTGGACCTGCCTGGGAGATGGAAATCAGCACCCAGGCCATGTTGTGTTCACCTAGGGTGCAATTTCCAACTGTCACTAAAATTCATGCGATGATGGCTTTGTGCTGGGGAAGAGGTTTCCATGGTGCAGAAAGGAACCATGTGGCATCTCCCCAGACTTCCCCACTTTGCCTCTACTTGGGGTCAAATTAAGCCCATTAAAAGGAATGTTCACCTTTAGCTACATGCCTACATGGCAGAGGACAACCTGCCATGCACCAACGAGTCTGCAAGGACATGGTAAAGGTACTGTGCAGATAAGCCCTGAGATGGTCTCCATATGAGACCTCCAGCTCAGCAATAGACACACTATCCATCCTCATCTCTAAGGAAGCTCTCCAGAAGCTCAGTGCTGACATTTCCACCCATGCACCCTTGCTGACTTGTGTATTCTTCTGCAGAGAATGGGGCAAGATCTCCTCCCCAGGCACAACCCACCTCCTCCATCGCTGCCTATTGCCCCTTGTGCCTCCACCATTGTTTCATCCCCTCCTTCCTCTCCCATGCATGCAAGCATGTGCCCACATAGCTGTCTCCTTCCCTGCTTTCTGTGATAACTGGAGACACCTCACTGCTCTAGCTTTTGTTGCTCTTGTCAGGTATTTTGGTTGCATGGTCTTCAGAGCTCACAAAGGGGAACTGATCAGAAGCAGCTCTCTGCCTGATCATATTGTATTAAATGGGAGAGAAATGACAGCTCTCAGCTCCCTGCAAGCCTTGGCACCCAGGTAAGCATCTGAAACAACAAAACAGGGGATCACCAGGGCAGCTGAGAACCAGCAAACTCCCCACACTCAGTCAGCAAGTTCTCACAGTCAAAGCACTGCCTGTGCACCCCCAGGACAATCTTCAGGCCTCTTTGCTTTTTCCAGCTGGCCCATCAGCTAAGCTTTGCTCCAGAACTGGTCTTGAGTGGAAGTTCCTGAAATGTCTGCTAAGACCTCCAGACCTGGTGCTGCTGCTGGTGCTCTGACCCACCTCGACAGGATCCCGGCCACACTTGAATTGCAGCCCCAAGGGGACAAGGCCAGACCGACTTTCAGTATCAAAAACTGCTCCTGCCGGTGCTTGCTCCCTGCAAAGCTCTCCTAGACAAGATGGGTGGGATGAATTAAAGCCTGGTGCCTGCAGGATGTGACCACAATGAGCTAACCTGGAGCAGCTGGTTTGAGGGGAGCTGGCAGAGAGGTTGAAGGGTCTTTACAGAAGGCACTGAGAAGTCACTGCACATGAGCATGGCAGAAATGCCCCTGGAGGAGAAAGTGGTCCGCTGTTATGCACTGAAATACGTCACTTCATATCTGGTTCCCTGACCCCTGTGCTCCTGGAGATTTCCACCCAGCGAGCAGCATGAGGATGGCCATGCCAAACCCCACTGTGGCACTAGAACACCAGCTCCAAGTCTGCTGGGAGCAAGTGGTGAGGACAAAGGTGCTCACCACATCCCTTCACTGGCAGCTCAGGAATTCAAGCCCATGGTGAACAGACCAGAAGCACCCCTCCAGCACATGCACCCCTCTGGCAGCCCCAGAACCCACTCCCCACGATGATCAAAATGGGGACCCATGACGACCCAACACCACCCTGATGGGGAGTGAGCAGAGAGCAGATGTGACACAAGCACCAAGCTGCCAACTTCTTCCAGCGGTGATGCCCATCCCAGCTCCTCCTCAACTTTGCTTTGCTTTGCAATGGCTTTGCTCAGGCTTCAGTTGCTGATGTTTCTCCTCTTCCCACCTCCTCACCCCCTGCCATCCCTTACAAGCAGCTCTTTATTAAAAATGCTAATGCTGGCACTTTCTCCCTGGGCTGCCCGTAAATCTGCAAGGAGAATGGGGTGGGAGGAGGAGGTGGATGGGTGGTTTGGTGAAAGGATCTGTAAGAAAGAGGAACTTTTTATCTGGCCGTCCTTCAAGCTCACAAAGCCAAGGCACACAGCAGGGGATGGAGAGAGGCAGAGGGGAAAAAATATAGATAAATGGGTGGAAAGAAATGAGGAAAAGAGAAAAAAATACTTTAAGCAGGAAAAGTGTCACTTCAGCATGTCCCTGGCTCCTCTGTGGGGTGGGGAGTGGACAGTGTGTGGGGATGGGATAGGAAGAGCAGAAGCACAACCACGTAGGGGGATAACTGTGTGTGGAAGAGAAGAACAACAGGGAGGGGAGGTGGGTGCACAGGGCACAGGCTGTTGCTCTAATTTGGGTGCCGTGCTGGAAAAAATGGCTGTAAGGCTGCAGGGTGGAGAAAAGGGTAAATTGCCCTGCGTGGGAGGGGGTTGAGGTGGCCCCTGCCTGCCAACTGCTAGAAGAGGATGAGAGTGCCCAGCCAGACATGTTCGCCAAATTGCCTTTAACTGGCCTAAAACCTCCCATGCCAGGGTGAAGCCCATTACAAGTCAAAAGAGCATGTTGATAAAGACCCTTTAAATGCAGACCATCTTAAATCTCATTGGAGTGTCCGAAAACAGTACCCAGGCAAGAACAGCATGTGGGTATGGGAAAGCCACAGGCCATTGCATGGCTGAGATGAAGAAGTACAAATGTGAGCAGGTAACAGTTTATTAACTAAAGGCAGAATGAGCTTATCTGACTTTTGGTCAAGTCATACCATGAAGTACCCACAAGAATTTGGTTTGACCAGCAAAGATGAGGCAGGGTTGGTTGGATTGCTGGAAACTGCATACCTACCCAGGAAATGTTAGAGTAAGAGCCGAAAAGCAGATAATTAACAATCCATATCAAAGTGGGAAGACAGACTGTGAACACACAAACAGCACCAGCCAGATTTGTTTAAAACAGCTGAAGAGCAGCACAAAAAAAGCAGCTGATCAAATGTATCTGCTACCCATGATCAAAAAGAATTTTCTTTTTTAAAAACTGATGAAGATGTAGGGACCGGATGCATTGGTGAAAGATGTACCACAAGGGCATGGATCTCAGCATGGTACCCAAAATACATACAACACACAAAGCCTCACTGCCATCAGCAATAAAGTTCAAAGATGAGCTCACCCTCCTGAGCAAAATTAGATGCTGCTGAATGAACAGACACCAAGTCAACCTGTAATCACTGTAAATAAAAACAAACCAATGGCAAGCCTATCTAAACCAAAGGGCTGAAATGAATTTTCAGGTAAAAACACCACCCTAGGAAAACAGAAAAGGTCATAGCCAGTCCACATTGCTCCTAAGAGTGTTGAGGGATTTGGCAGAGCCCCCAGGTCCTGCTTTGCTGATTTACTCTTTGCTAAGAGATGATGGTGCCTTCTCCAGGGATTGACTTGCCACCTGGTTTGTGCTACCCACAGCTGCAGCACATTGCTCCAATATTGGAGGAGTTAGGAGCATATTAGACAAACAATGGTAAGAAACAATCAGGCATAGTTGATCTCGCCTTGGGATCAGGGGAGGGAGTAGAGGGTTTGAAGATGTCTCTTTCAGGTGAGCCTGTGGGAAAACTTATTAGGCTAGAGCTGGGAGTGAGCTGATGAGTTCAACAAAAAGACAACTTGGCTTGGCAGCTCAACCTCCACCCCAAAAAATGTAAATACCATGTGTAAAGTTACAAGTTATTCAGTTAAACAGGCTCTGACAAGATGGTTCTGCTGGACCAAAGACAGTTCATCACAGTTGTGGCCATGTGGAGGCCAAGGGTTCACAGGGGACACCTTGGACCGGAAAAAGAGTCCTCCACCATCACAAGCCCTTTCAGGCAGAGCTGCACCAAGCAGCACCTGAACATTAGGAACAGATCACAGCACAGAAAAAAAAATCCTCATTAAATATCAAGCTGAACTTGGCATCACAATGCTTAGTGTGGACACGCTTTCAAGAGCCCCTATAAATAGTGGAAGCTGCAGGCAGCGATGGTTAACTGTGGTTAAGTGTGGTTTCAGCTGCTACGATTTTTTGAAACAAAAATCTGACAAGTTCAAGGAAGAAACACAAAATTACCCCGGTTTCAAACAGTCAAGAGAGGAACTCTTAAAGGGTGGTGCTGAAAAAGTCTCAACACTGCAGTGGCAGAGCCTCCTTGAGAGCCCAGAGAGGAGCAGAAGGACTTTGATGACCCCACTATGATCTAGGGCTGTGTTGCACCTTGGGGAAAAAAGAGATCTGCTGGGTTTCTCTGCCTCAAACAGAAAAGTATGTTGGAAATGCTGCATATAATTTGTCATAGGCAACTTTAGTATGTAAGAAGAGACCTAAGACAACATATAACCTGGCCAGGTATGAATAGTGTTGCAGGAGGAAAGGCAAAGGCTCAAGCATGAGCTCCCAAGGGGGCATTGAGGTGGAGCTGGGTCTGAAAACAGGCCCCAAATCCCCTGGAGGAATGGAGTGGGTCCAGAGCACCTTTCAGGTTGGCATTGCTGAGATAAAAGCTGAGTCCGGAGCGGTGAACAGGTCCAGAGGGCTGCAGGAATGGGTTTGTCCCTCCTGCCCTTGGCTTCTCTCCTGCTAGTTACCACCTATATTTTTTCCCAATTGACCTGAAAGTAGATTTTTCTCCACTTTCCTTTTAGATGGCGGAGCAGCTAGATCTGGAAAAAGCTAAAGAGCAATATGCATGGGAGGAAAAGTGTGAAGCTGCAGTCCCATGCCCAGGAGCAAAGGAAAAGCAGAGAGGAAGGAAACAAATGCTTCCCCACCTGTGCTTATCCATTTTTACTACCTGCCTCCATGGATAAAGCCTTCTTGCTTTTCCCAAGGTGGTGGGTCCAGCACACTGCTGGTAGCTCTGACCAAGGCACAGGCTGGAACCCAAGTCATGCATGGTCATGGGTGGCCATGGGCTCTTTCCAACCCGCTGTGAGACACTCCTAAACCCAACACATCCCAAAATGAGCAAGTCCTTGGCAGAGGGAATACTCCCTTCCACGCCTCAGTCCCCATCACTTAATGTTTCTTATTAGATGGGCACAGAGGAGCTGGGTACATCCCTGTCAGACACTTGACTCCCTGGGGAGAACAGGGCAGGGAGTTGTATTTCTGCCTGTATTCTCCCACCCCAACAGTGGTACCCCACAGTGGTCTGGGGACATGGACCACACCACTCAGCACACCCTCAGCACGGGGCCACCTGTCTCATGAGTATCACCCTGTCCCCAGCCTGGCTGAAGGCACCCACAACAATGGCCGCCCTTGTCTCCCACAGCCAGTGCTCCGCACTGGATTTAACTGCTAAATTGCTTTTAAAATGAAAAACCACAGAGGAGGGGTTGGAGACAAAGCAGCAATGCTCTCCCTGGGCCCCAGTTCAAGACACAGCCAGGACTTGCCAGCACCAGCAGCCTCCTGCGGCTGCCATCCTCCTGCACAGCATCATGGCAGGGGTGTCGCCAAACCCAGCCTTTGATGATTTTCTCTTCCTGCTGTGAAGACTAATGACTTCAGAGAGAGCGTCCTGGCACAGACTGGGCTGCTGCAGATCTGGCTGTGGCACAGTTAGACAAGGGCAGGAAAAAAGAGGTGCCAGTACATGTGGGGCTTCTGGTTTTGGGGGTGTCTTGGCTTTCTGCACACTACCACCAGCCATTCCTGGAAGTACCCATCTGCATGTCAGAGACCCATAAGTGTTAAGGACCAGATGGAGTATCCCCTGAGGGTCAGAGAGAGATGGGAACATTTGGGATACCCCACCAAATTGCTGCCAAAACATCAGAAAGATTTCCCTTTGCACTTCCAGGGGTGTAAAGCTGTGGAGCAGAGGGCAACTGATCTGTTCCCTCAGGCTTTGGCATCAAAGCTTCTAATTTGCCCAATTTTCAATGGGGTGTCCCCATCCTGCTGACTCTCTCCTCTGCTGGGGACCACAGCCCAACCCTCCGATACCTCACACAGCCAAACCAAAAGTCCCATGAAGTGCAGGATCCCAAGGAGAGTGCCCACAAGGCGAAGAGGAGCAGCCTCAATCTTCTCCAGGCTGTGTTTACTCTGAAACCTAGCAATGACCTCTATACATCATCTCTGATTATTTCAAAAAACAGAAATCCTCATCTCCCACAGACCTGCTGCAGAGCCCAGACGTGTGCTGACCTTACAATTCACCAAGATGCCTCTAACTCTCATCCAAGAGGATTTGCCACATCCCTGCTACACTGCTGTTGAAGCCCAGCAGCTCGTGCAAGGACAATCTAAGCTTGGGCATGATGTGACAGGCACTCACCCCTGGTTTGTTCCCCACTCATTCCGGATGCAGAGGTGCTTATGCACAGGGTCCTTCATGTAGCCTTCGTAGCAGAGACACTCACCTACAGAGAGAGGAGGGGACATGAGGGATGTTGGAGGACAAGGCTTTCCAGGTATTTCCCTACTGAACCCAGCCTGCAGCCATCCCAGCCACACAGCAGCTCCATTCTCACATGTGGATCAAGGTGAGAAAGCATCTTCCCACCAAACTCGGGTTGAGCAGGCAGGGGTGAGCTCCCAACCCACCCCAGCTGTCTGACCACCTACCAGTCTCAGGGTCACACTGATGCTCGCAGGGGTCAAGGAGGCGCCGGGCGCAGAGGTCCAGGGCCCAGGGCCCACTGGAGTTTTGCTGGGAGAAGAGGACGACCTGTGCCGGGTTCAGCCAGTCACTGGCATCCAGCTGGCTTCCCTCCAGAAGGATGAACCGGCTCCCTGTCACCGAGAGGGCAGTCAGTGGTGATGACCTGCTGCTGTCCCTTCCATCCCATGATGGTCCCCTGCATCCCATAATGGACTTCTACATCCTGCGATAGTCACCTCCATCTTGTGATGATCCTGTACATCCTCTCCATTCCAAGACAGTGGCCTTTGCCCTGCAACAGCCCCCTGTGTTCCACAATAAATCCCTCTGTCCTGTGCCCATCCCATCTGCCCTATGATGGCCTCCTCCAACCCATGCCTGTCTCCTCCATCCCATGACAGCTCCCTCCATCCTGTGTCTGTCCCCTCCATCCCACAGTGACCAACCATCTCCATCCCATATCCATCCCCTCCAACCCATGCCTGTCCCCTCCATCCCACAATGGTCTTCTCGGTCCTGTGTCCATTCCCTCCATCCTGCACCCATCTCCTGCATCAGGCACTGGCTGTACCTCTGTCCTCTCCATCATTCCCTCCTCCCCTCCATTACAGCTTACAGAATGGGGCAGGAGGGGGTAAGTGAAACTGTGGGGTGCTCACCATCAGCGATGAGGTGCTCAGGGACATGGAGGGTGATCTTAACTACAAGGGGGCAGCTCATGTGGGATGAGCACACCAGGCTGATGACACAGCTCGTCACACTGATGAGGGTCAGCGTGGTCTTGTTCACAGGACTCCGGGGAGATCCCACTGCAAAATGTGAAATCACAGTCAAACGTGAGACCTGGGAGACTCAGGAAGATCTTGGGGTGCAGCCAGGGGATCTTGGGGTGCAGAGACCCTGCCCAACCCCTGGAGATACAGCATCAATCCAGTAAGCAGAGTGACTTTGGATTTTCAAAAGCATAAAGCAGACTTTGTCACAGGACCCTCCCTCTAGCTACTGCAGCTGAGGTCTCCCCGAGCCCCCGCAGCTTGGGCTCTCCCCTACCCCTGCACTGCAACATGCCAAAACCTTTGCAGTAGCAGAACTTTAAAGCAAGGCAGAGATATTGAGGAGAAGAAAAGTAAATGCAATATCCCTTTTTTTCCCCTACTCCTTCTTCTTGGCACTTCTCTCAGGTTGATTTTGTCATAAGAACAGCTTCCTGGATGCCTTTGAAAAAGCACCAAAGCACCCTAACTGCCCAAGACATGCAGGCCTTAATCTCTCAGCTGAAGAAGCTGAGCACAAAAAGCTGGCTGGGGGCTGAGCTATCCCCTGCAGAGATAAATCCTGAACCAGCCTCCCAGCACCCTGCACAGGCACTGGGAGTGAAGCAGATGGCTCCCAGTTCCACCACTATCAAAAAACCAAAGCACCATCTAGCAAACAAGGCTCAGCGAGGGAAAACAGACACAAACTCTCCTCCACGGAGGAGAAAAACTCCCAAAGGGGTGGTGCAGGGCAGTGGGGTGAGGCTCCTGCCTGGGGACCAAGCCTGTCCCCATCCTCTGCTGCACATACAGCTCGTATGTGCACCGGAGCTCACAGACCAGCCTTTGAAGCGTGTTACTCATTAATACACACCAGAGCCTGGCAGAAGCCTCCAGCAAAAAATCAGAATACATTTCATCCTCTGCTGAGAAACTCCACTGGAGAGCAGTGGCAGCCCGCTGCAGGAGCAGGAACCAGTGCCTGCCTAAGGTAGCCCAGATCACGCCTGGGTTTCCATCTTTTGCAAATGGAAAGTCTCCGAACCCAGAGAGGTGACAGCAAACAAAGCAAGGGTAGTCATGGCTTGTCACCCACCTTCACAGCCGCACCCACCTCGGCTGCGCCTCCGGCTCCGTGATGGGTCTGTGTAGAAGGTCAGCTGGGGATCAGTGTCTGCCTCCGTCCCTGAGTCCCCCTCAGGGTTGAGAAATGCTGAGCCGGCTGCAGGGGACACCAAGTGTGGTCACAGCAGGGCTGGCACCATGCCACCCCAAGCTGTCACATCCTACATCACCCCTTCAGGGCAAACCTTGCCTTGAAGACCAGGAGCCCTGCCTGCCAGGTGCAGCAGAGACAGCATCTTTTCCCCTTCCCACCACACAGAATCATGCCCCTGCCACAGCTCCCATTACCTTGCAACTTTTCCCCATAACCGTGCCAGTATCATATAATATTTACTGTGGCTAACACCCTCTGCATCTTTGCAATCAACCAACCCAACATTATTTTCAACCTTGCAGACATCAACTTTTCTGCTTCCCCCCATCCAAGCCCTCCTTTCCATGCTTCTTGCCCAACACTAGTTCTGTTTCTCCATCCCAGGAGAGGGTGAGTTGTTGGATCATGGGTGGGTGGAAGCCCAGAGCACTCCATCCACCCCAAGGATACCCCTACCTCGTGCTTTGTTGTTGATGCGCTTGCGCTGACTGCTGGAGGTGTGGGACAGTAGTGTGGCCTGCTGGTGGTTTGAGTCCACAGGGCTGGTGGCGATGATGTTATCTTTGTACTTGTTCATCAGGGACAGCTTGGCATTATCGCTCCCTGAGTGGGAAGAATTTAAGGCAAAATCTTTCAGGGATAAGATTTTTAAAAAGGAGGGAGGTGAGAAAGAAAGAGATTCTTCCTTGGATCCATCTCCAGCATCTGCATGAGGCAACCATGATGCCATGGCCAATGGGCCAAGCTGCCCTCAGTGCACCCTCATGAGCTCCTCAAAGCCTGATGGGGACCAGCACCTCCACCCAGCTAGCCAAAAGCTGAGATTTAACATTCAGCCTCTCAGGGTACTTCTGCATATCCATGTCTGTAAAGAAAACCCCTGGAGAGCTTTAGAAAGCACACCATGGTCTTCCCAGACCATGTCTCAGTTGAGAATGCTCCAGCTAGATGGCTCAGCTGGTAATAAGGCCAAAAAGCAAGTGTGTTACAAGCCTCAGAGAATCCCTGCTGGTGATCAGAAGACAGTGTTAACTCTGAATCATACTGATGACAAGTATAATTTTGCTACTAAAAAACCCAGATGAAGAAAACATGAGAAATCCTGGGATACAGAAGAGAATTTTGCAGGTCACCTTGGGGTAGCTTGAAGGGGACACCATTCTGGCTGTCCCTCAGGCCACAGGAACCCTTCTCCTCAGAGGTCCAGTCTGAATTGTCCCAGCTACGTTCCACTTAGCAGGGACTGCTCTCAACTGGATGCAAGGTCTCCCAGCAATGGAAGCACTTTCAGAGTGCCACCAACATCTCACATGCAACAAAAGCCCAGAGAAATGGGGAAAATGATTAAGGGAAAACTTGTGTATGGAATGATGGAGAGAAGACGAGTTGGAAAGGACACAGCTCAGCCCATGCCCCCCTGTCTCATCCCCACCTGGTGTGAGGTCCATGCTGGCCTTCTCATTGCAGCCCTGCAGCGAGTCCAGGGTGCGGGTGACCTGGCTGGCAAAGTCTTCCCCACCATTCATGCACTCACGCTGGAGGTGGTGCCGCAGGTCGGTGATGTCATACTCATAGCCGTCCAAGATGGGGGTTTCACGGATGCTGAGCGTCCCACTGGAGTTGTGCCCCTGCACACGGGCATTGCGCAGGCTCTCCCGCCCGTGGCCCCCGATCAGCACCGAGGGGATGTAGTGGATCTCGTTGGCTGCCTCGGCGCTGGCACTCTTCTGGGGCTGTGGCACACGGCGCCGCTTGCACCACCGCCGGCGGGTGTAGAGGATCATCACCAAGCAGAGGATGGAGAGCAGCAGGGCGATCATCCCTCCCTGCAGGCACAAACATGAGCAGGGCTCAGCCAGGGACACTGGCCAGCCACCCCCTCCTCAGGGATGCAAACGCCCCAGGGATGCTCTGGAGTAGCTAAAACAAAGGCAATGGTGAGAGGAGCCCTGTCACACCGACAAAAAGGTGCTGGCCCAGGGAGTGCCCAGCATTGGCCAAGCGTTCCCCCTGAAGCTTGCCTTGAGCTGGACCAACTTTGAAGTCACTACCGAGGCATGAAAAAGCAGCATTTAAAGCAGAGCGTGTTTTGTTTCACTCTCCTGTAACACGTCTTTGAAAGCAGAGATCAGATTTATTCCAGGCGAACGCTCCTATGGGCAACTTTTTCTGACCCATTTCCAACCAGTTTCAGTGCTGTCACTCTCAATCTTGGGAGATTTTCCCAGGGCATCCTGCAGAAATTGCAGCACAGATTAAAGGAGATCAAGGCTCAAAACAGCCAGATGACTGAAGTTGTTTGGGGAATGCCTGGGGGGAAAAGACTGTATAAGCTCCTGTTCTGCAGGGACAGACCTGAAACTGCACCCAGACCTGTCGTCTCACCACCATCCCCAAGGCCACCTTCCTGCAGAGACATCATCACTGCATACAGACAGAGGCAGCAAGATGGAAGCCCAAGCTGGCCCTTTACGCCCGGTCTGCCAATAATTTTTAAATTTTTTTAAAATTTTTATTTTTAAAAAGCATGCAATCAGCTAAGAGCTTCATGTCCACCCATGGGTCTGGTCCTCCTCCTCTCTTGTACATAATAGCTGATCTTGATAAAATAAAATAATAGTAATAATCTGCTCCATTAGGATAAAACATTAAGGGAATTATTGAATGAAAAGCAGGAGAGGCAGCTGGAAAAGGATCTCTAATGGCCATTACGGTTTAACACTCTTTCATTCCCAGGATAATAGAGCTGCAGTGCACCCTCCCACTCTCCTTCCAAACTTTCTTTAAAAAAAAAAAAAAAAAGAAAAGAAAAAACAAAGAAACTTCAGTGATTAAGGACACAAGCAGTCCAGGATAGGAGGAGGGGCTGGCTGGCACATGGCATCTCTTTGGCCAGGAGCCTGCATCTGGGAGGATGGGAAATCTCTTGCTGGGGCTGAAAATTGGCACTGGATTCATGCCTGGCCATGCTCATACCGAGTTTTTTAGTGTAAAAATCAGGGCCCAGTTCTCTAACATATTCAAATCCTTTTGAGATCTATAAATGAGTGGGGACTACCCACATCCCCACCAGAGATGGGCTCCCATGTCATGGCTCTCCATCACCCTGAGGATGGGTCCATCTGCAGGTGGGGTGACAAGCAGGTGGGAGTAATAGCCGGGGCATTGCCAGCTTTCCTTTCCTTTGCTGCCCTCCATATGCACATTAAATCCTCCAAACACCAGGGAACTCTGCCATACGCCTGTGCCAGTAAAGAAGGGAAACCAAGTGAGAGATTGAGTCAGGTGGACACCCATTCGTTTAGGACTGCAGCTATGAGTTCTCAAAAAAGACTGAATTTCTTCTGCCCGGGTAGTATGAGAGGTCAAACCATCCCTGGGGGAGAGTAGTCCATGGCCACTTAAGATTTCGAGGGGCTCTGAAGGGAGGATGAAAACCAGCACTGGAATCCCCTCCACTCACTGCTTGTTGGAGGGAGTCAGAGCACCACCTCAGACCCCCAGTTCCTCTCCACAGGAGCACAGAAATCCCATTCTGCCTTCATCTCCCTGACCTGACACTTGTACAATGGCTGCAAGAGGAGCCCTGTGCTGGATGGGTGCAGGAGGGCTTCTCACACGGTCCACGTGCGAACCGCTGTCACAATGGATACAGCCCCTCGCTCACACTTCTTCTCTTGGCAACCACAGGGGAAAGAAAGAAATTCAGCCTTGAAAACTCCACGTGATCCTGACTCCTGGCACAAAAGCCAACGTCTATTTGTCAGGATATAAGGATGCCACTGGAGTGGAGCTGAGAGTGATGGGGGAAAAGTGGGGGAGGGAGGATTCAATCTGTATTTACACATTTTGGTACGAGAGCAATGAGTTGCAGACATCAGCTTGATAATAAGCCTTCTTTCACGTACTCCTGTTTCGATCTTGGGATTCAGCGGTACCCAAAAAGACCAAGATCACAGTGGCAGAGTGGGGCCAGCCTCTCCCTCTCAGGAGCAGCTGGGAACAGACACTAAAAAAAAAGATAACGGTGCAGAATGTTTGTGGGGGTGGCCTTGCCAGTGATTTTTTTTTTTCCTCGAGACTAATCAAGCACAAATGATGGAGGAGAAACCTGGCCTCGGGCTGCAATCTGGAAGAGCTATTGTCACTCTCATTAGGGTAGGCACCATTAAACAGCCTGTTTGCAGCCTCGGCAACACATTGTCTCTGGCTAATTATCTTCCAGGGGCACAAAAATTGTCGGATTCTTCAAATTTTTTCCAGCGTAACAAAAAAACCCCTAACCAACAAATCACAGGTCCATGTCCAACACACAGATCTCTGTCTCACCTTCCTTTCTCTGCCATCAAAACCTCATCCCTGCGTACCCGGAGGGAGGAGGAGAGCTGTGCAGCCTCTGTGCATGGGATGCTCTTGCTTACTGCACACTGTGAAACTGCAGCCACACGGCTGCCACACTGATAAAAGTGGTGGTGACAGTGCCCAGTAGCACCGTGACACCCGCCACGTGTCAGAGCAGCGAGCGCCAGGCACCATCCATTGGGCAAAGGGCTCCTGACAAAGTCATTGTGAATTAGCCTTGGGTTAAGGGGGTTGAGAACTTAAAAGCCCAGCAGACCCCTGGGGATAAAGGCACCCGTGCAAACATATTTGCAAAGTGATGCAAACTAAGGGAGAGGTTCAAAGCAGCCCAATGTTAAAGCATCCTGCATGCATCATCATTCAGAGAGGTGCCCAGAGCATCTTAACCAGCCCTTGAAGGTGGACTCAGTTCCTCCTCCTAGACCAGCTGAAGCCAGATGGGTAAAAACACGGCTTTACAGAAGCCCCTATATATTCTAGTCTTCTGGACACCTAAAGAGGGGGGCTGCCTTCCCATCACATACCATGACGGAGATATGGAGGATCCTCAGCTCCTCCTCTGCTGACTCAGTCTGGGGCTCATCTGTGGGGTCGAAGCCGGGAAGATTGGGGGCCCCATCTTGGTGGTGGATGTGGAAGAGCAACGTGCCATTCTCCAGCCACTGCTGCCGCCAGCGCACCAGTGGGATGTCATCCGTGTTGCCCGAGATCTCTGCAAAAGCAAAGCCAGTCAAATGGGAAGGTCACATGGAGGACGAGAGTGATGGTGACATTTGCCTCTTCCCAGAAAATGAGTGGAGGGACCAAGGGACACACAGAGCAGGCTCCCCGCAGTCACCTCCTGCCAGCACCACAGCTGTCCCTACACAACCCACAGGTCCTGTAGGCTATCCCTACACAGCCTGAAAGGTTAAAGGGGAGTAAAATATTTCTGGGTAAAATACAGATGTGAGCCCCTCCAAAAATCCAGGTGTCATGCAGGGACAGACAGCATCTCTGGACCAGAGCCAGGGAGCCTGGCAGCATCCTTCAAGCCCTAATTTGGACGGGCTTCACCCACATGCTTCATGCTCCAGCCATGGGGAGCAGAGGATATACGACAATGTTTCAGTGGCACTAATGAGATCACTGGGACCACGTCACAAATTATTGCAGACAGAAAATATTTCCTATCCTTTCTGAATGGAGAAATGTGCACATGGCTGTGATTGCACCTGCAGCTTTGGCTCTGACTGAGATGCATTCAGAGGTTTTCACTCTTCAACCATTGTTTACAGCTCCCCACACAGGACTCAGCCCTGAGATCTGCAGATGTACCTGCACCTTCTGCCCAAACACCCCAACTTTCCCTAAGTACCTTTAACTTCAGGGTTTGGGAGCAGGGGACAGATGGACAGAACTGGGCTGAGGAGTGACAGCAGCAGAGGACACGCAAGAAGGAGGAGCAGCTGAGGGCCGGGACACGACATGTGCTGCAGGACACTAAATGCCAAATCAAACCAAATTCACCTGGCTGACTCCAAAATTTCAGGGACATAAAAGGGAGGGTGGCACCAGCAGATCCCTAGAAGAGGTGGACACTGTTTTAACCACCACCTTCATCTCAGACCAGATCACCTTGATCAGTACCTCAAGCACCTTGGTCTCAACCATCACCTAAAGCCTGCCATTTGCCTGTTAGTTATTTTTCCTGAAAACATAACCTTCAATTGCATTTGTTGGAATGACCATTAAAAACATGATGAGCTTCCCAGCGAGAGGCAGCTTTCCCTCCTGTCTCTGCCCCATGGGAAGGCTCCAGCCAGACCTGTCCACTTCATCCCATTTGTATCGTGCATTTTGATGGCAGTGGGAAAGAGCCCAGCTCGCTTTGCAAATTGTCATCTTTATTTTGCTTGTTTCATGCTGCCTTCAAATGAAAACTGGAATTCAATTACAGTGCCGAAAAACAACATTTTAAATTCACTGTTAATTAATTTCATTAGGCTGCCTTAAGTGAGCTAGCTACTGGGGCGGGGGGG